GGTTAGAACCGTTCATATATTAAAAAAAAAACAAAAAAATTAAACCAAGATTCGTACTTACTTATTAATCTTGATTTCTTGGTTTTCCTTTCTTTGGAAGTCCACTAGATCCTAAAAAATAGAAAAGAATGGTTATTAGTAACCGTTCATAATATTTTTTTAAAAAAAAATAAAAAAAAAATCCAAGATTCTTACGAATCTTTGGAATTTTCCCGTTCTTCAGAACACGGAAGTCTACCCGAATCTATAAAAAATAAAAGAACGGTTATTAGTAACTAAAACTCCGAACGGTTCGGGCTAAACCAGGGAACCAATCCGAAACTGGCTCAAAATTCGGTTCGGTTCAGTTCGGGTATTAGAACCAAAAAACTGGCGGTTCGGTTCAGTTTAATCCGATTTTTTATAAAAATGCGAAAAATTGAATAGCCGTCCATCTAGTGATCGTACAAAGTCGAGCCATATATCATTGGATTCGTCTCGATGAGACGCGATGAATGGTGCTAAGATCATGTCTCTAGCATTGATATATCACACGTTAACCCACGCTAAATGATTTATAAATAATTGGAATTAGCAAGCTATCTATCGGTGCTAGAGACATGATCTTAGCACCATTCGACGCGTCTCAGTGAGACAAATCCAATGAATATAAATTCGTTCGTGTACGACTACTGGATGGCGAATAATATCAAGTTTCGCATTTTTTTAAAAATTTCGAGCGTTAAAAATTAAAAATTCCGATACATGAATTTATTCGTCATCCAATGGTCGTACAAATATGAATTAGGACTCATTGGATTCGTCTCGATAAGACGAGTCGAATGGTGGCAAGATCACGTCTCTAGCATCGATAGAAGCTTGCTAATGCCAATTTTTTATAAATTATTTAGCGTGAATTAACTTACGATCTATTAATGCTAGAGACATGATCTCACCACTATTCGACTCGTCTCATCAAGACGAATCCAATGAGTCATAATTCATATTTGTACGACCATTGGACGACGAATAAATTCATGTATCGGAATTTTTAATTTTTAATGCTCGAAATTTTTTAAAAAATGCTAAACTTGATATTATTCGCCATCCAGTAGTCGTACATGAACGAATTTATATTCATTGGATTCGTCTCACTGAGACGCGTCGAATGGTGCTAAGATCATGTCTCTAGCACCGATAGATAGCTTGCTAATTCCAATTATTTATAAATCATTTAGCGTGGATTAACGTGTGATCTATCGATGCTAGAGACATGATCTTAGCACCATTCGTCGCGTCTCATCGAGACGAATCCAATGAAATATGGCTCGACTTTATACGATCACTAGATGGCCGGCTATTTGATTTTTCGCATTTTTATAAAAATCGGATTAAATTGAACCGAACTGCCAGTTTTTCAGTTCGGTTCTTACGGATTTTGGCTCTAATCCAAACCGTCTATAATTCGGACCAAACCGACCTGTTCGGAGCTTTATTAGTAACCGTTCATAATATTTTTTTTAAAAAAAATAAAAAAAATCCAAGATTCTTACGAATCTTGGAATTTTTCCGTCCTTCAGAACATCCGATCCTAAAAAAAAAAAGAAAAAGAACGGTTATTAATAACTGTTCATAATATTAAAAATAAACAAAAAAAATAACCAAGTTTCGAACTTACGAAACTTGGTTTTTTCCATTTTTCAGAAGTCACTTGAAAGCCGAACCTAAAAAAGAAAAATAAAAAAGAATGGTTAGTATTAACCGTTCATATTAAAAATATAAAAAAAAACTCCAAAGAATTTGTACTTACGAATCTTTGGGGTTTCTATACTTCAAAAGCCTACCTGAACGGCTGAACCTAAAAAAAAAGTAAAAAAAGAACAGTTAGTAACTGTTCATATTAAAAATATAAAAAAAACTTCAAAGAATTCGTACTTACAAATCTTTGGAGTTTCTATATTTCGGAAGCCCACCCGAACAGCCGAACCTAAAAAAAAAGTAAAAAAAGAATGGTTAGTAACCGTTCATATTAAAAATATAAAAAAAAAACTCCAAAGAATTCGTACTTACAAATCTTTGGGGTTTCTATACTTTGGAAGCCCACCTGAACAGCCGAACCTAAAAAAAAAGTAAAAAAAGAATGGTTAGTAACCGTTCATATTAAAAATATAAAAAAAAAACTCCAAAGAATTCGTACTTACAAATCTTTGGGGTTTCTATACTTCGGAAACCCACCCAAATAGCCAAATCTAAAAAAAAAGTAAAAAAAAAATGGTTAGTAACCGTTCATATTAAAAATATAAAAAAAAACTCCAAAGAATTCGTACTTAGGAATCTTTGGGGTTTCTGTACTTTAGAAGCCCATTCGAGCCTTTTAAATGGGTGTCTTGAATCTAAAAAAGAAAAAAACGAAAACATTAGTGAAACGTTTTGTTAAAAGAAGTGAAAATTTGAAGGTATATGTATACCTTCGAAAGAGATAAGTGACGAAAGGAAGGGAAAAGAGTAAGGAAGGGAAAAGCGAAGGAAGGGAAAGGAGAACGAAGGGAAGGAAAGGGGAAGAAGAGAAACTGGGATGAAGGAAAAGGGAACAAAGGAAGGGAAAGGGCGGGGAGGGAAGGAAGAAAATTAAAAAAGTTTAAAAAAGGATCATCCTTTTTTAAACTTTTATTTTAATACGTGTATCACGTAATGCATAACGTTTGATTAACATAATTCAACTAGGTTGAATATATGTCTAATCGTAGATCTTTACTAATTGAAGTCAAATTTTATTAATTTTAGTCGAATATAGGCCAAATTGTATTAAGGCCGAATATTCCTTTTTCGACTAGTGCTATTGATGTTCTCAGATTCATGACATCTAGCATTATTTATTAGTAAAATAATATGCCGATTTTCTTTAAGCATTTTGGAATTTAATTTTTTAAGATAATGTTTGAAAATACTTCTTTGCATCCAAGCTTTAGAATTCCAATAATACCAAACAGGGAGAGATCTTTTTTCAATTCTCTTTAATACACGTGGTGTTTCATATTTATGAATAAAAATTAAAGGCAATCTTTCATCACCAGAAGCATTACAAGTTGCCAAAATACTAACACATTATTTCAGACATTTTTTACCAAGTACAGGATCATGTGCTATTGTTTTGGATGGTTCTAAACGCCAAAAAAGAGCAGTTTCATCACAGTTCCAGATATCTTTTAGTTTATATGCTTGAAGAATTTCTTGTAATTCAGCTCTTATTTGTGAAAGTTCATTAATAGGAGCACTGCCAGCTTCTCCTTTTTTTTTATATGTATGCAAATTATTTCTCTGTTTAAAGTTGCTTAACTATCCTGCAGATGCTGAAAAGTTGGTGATATCAAGTAAGTTAGCACACTCTACTGCTTTTTGTTGGATAATAAGCCCATTTATAGTTAAATTTCTTGAAATTTGTTGATCAATCCAAATGCTCATTACTTTTTCTAGTTGTGGATAAACACTAGATTTTTCACGAAAATTATTTGCATTTGGTAAAGTGGTATCAATGGAAAGCCAATGTTCTGATCTTTTTAAAATATCAAAAACTGTGCTAGTGGAAATTCCATATTGTGCTGCTAATTGAACACCACTAAGTTTTTGATTTCTTTGTTTTTCACAGAGTTCTTTCTTTTGAGCTAATGTTAAAGATTTCTTCTTTTTATTATTCGTATCTTTGTTTTCTCTCATACTAAAGTATATTTTGAAAAAAAAACAGTGAGAAAATTGTTTTCCTAATTAATAAATGATTAACATAATTATTTCGGACTCTGAAAAATTAATACGTCATATCAAGATTTTTTAACTATAGTTAATCTAAAATAAAATCCGATTTACGAAATATTGAGATTTTACTAATAAAGTCCGATATATCAAGACTGTTTTAATATAGATGATTTGGTTCCAAAAGAAAAATCCGAAATAGTGCCAAATCCGATTTATCGAGGATCCGATTTATTGAGATTGCCTGTGTATCTCCAGATCTAATGATCCAATCAGCAAGCTCTTTTTTCGCTCATATAGACCAGATCAAGGGCTTTCTGAAGAGCCTAAATTTATAAAAAACGGATCAGTGAATCTTGATATATTTGCGTCTAAAGATGGTAATACAAATTCTGACATAAAATAATTATTTTTATTGTTTGAAAATATCTATTATGATACCATCTTTTATATGATATTTTTATTATACTTTTATAAACATTTATAGCTACTAAGACTATATAAATTTTTATTTTACTTTATATTTTATTAAAATATACTTACTTTTTAATAATATATATTAAAAATTCCATATATATAAGAAATGGGGTTTTTATTAGTGAAATGAGTTTTTTCACACCTCTTTTACATTTAATAATTTAAGTTTCGCAAATGTAAATTTTTGTTCAACTTATTATTTAGTCAAGTGATCATCAATCAGATGATTTTTTGGTATTACAAAACAATTTTGAGTAACGAAAATTGTGCAAATCAATTCAATAACTCTTTTTAATGCAGAGTAGACAAATCAGCCCATATGTAAAAAGTTTCAGTACAGTACTGTACTGTATATAGGGTTCAGTTTATTTCACTGAAAAACATTTCACCGACAATCAACTTACTGACAGTCACTTTACCAAAAATCATTTCACCGACAGGTTCATTTCACCGACAGGATTATTTCGCCAAAAATCATCTCTCTGAAAATCATTTCACCGAATTTTAATTTTTTACTGTAATTTGATAATCAATCACATAGCCACAATTATTAATTTAATATTTAATAGTTTTTATTGTGAAAAATAACATAGCTACAATTATTAGTAAATTATTTATTATGTAAAATTTTATTAATATACACATAAAAGGAATGTTATGTAATTTGAATATAATAAAATATTAATTTTTTTTATTTATTGTTTGAATCATTTTTTTACCACTCAAATAAATAAAGTGAAATGATAAAATTCTCTAGTAAAAATTTTACTTTCTTCAATATTCGTAGTATTTACAAGTAAAACTCAATTTTTTTCTAATAAATACTTTATCCTCTTCTTTATTTTTTTCAAAATGGATATCTGTGAAGCTGTTTCTTCTATTCGAAATAAAAATAAAATCAATATTCATGGCTATCTCATGGTTAAAGACAAAAAAAGAAACAACTCATATTACTGGTATTGTAAAAAACGGGATCAACTACGATGCAATGGACGAGCTACAACTATGTTTACCAAAAATCAATATCACCTTGTAAAGTTTACAGATCACAACCATGCTGCAGATGCAAGCCAAGTTAAAGTTGTAAAAAGTCTCAATTTATTAAAAGAACAGGCCCAACAAACAAATGACCAGCTTGTACAAGTTATTCAAAGTGTTTTGGCTGGTAGTTCATAAGAAATAGGTTCTCATTTGCCATCTCGTGATGCACTTCGTCAAGCTGTCAAATGAGTTAGACGTGCTAATTTACCAGCAGAGCCACAATCTTTTGCAAATCTTATTATTCTTGATAATTTGCAAAAAACTTTAAGTAATTCTAAATTTTTGATTAGGGATTTAAACATAGGTAATGAAAAAGTGCTAATCTTTACAACATTTAATAATGTCAACTATCTGTCTCAATCATCCTTTTGGATAATGGATGGTACTTTCAAGACTGTCCCAACAATTTTTAAACAACTCTATACAATTCATGGAAGTGTTGGAGATAGTGAAAACTCCAAAATTATGCCTCTTGTATTTTCACTAATGTCAAGTAAATCAGAGGAATACTATAGAGCATTGTTTCAAAATTTAATCAACTTGGTGATGAACATAACATTGATCTACAACCACAATATGTATTAACAAACTTTGAAAAAGCTTTAATCAATGCAGTTCATATAGAATTACACGGTGTTCAAAATAAAGGCTGCCATTTTCATTTGTCCCAAAGTGTATATCATAAAGTGCAAGCATTTGGCCTTGCTTCTCAATATGCAAATGATGAAAATATTAGTTTATTTGTTAAACATATCCCAGCACTTGCATTTTTGCCTTGTGATAATATTCCAGCTGCATTTGATGAATTAAGAAGTAACATGCCACCAGACATGCCACCAGAAGTCAATGAACTTTTGGATTGGTTTGAGATTTATTATGTCCATAGAAAGGTAATTCGTAGATTAAGAAATGGAAATGTGGTTCATTCCGAGCCATTATTTCCACCATCTTTATGGTTAGTCACTGAAAATATAGAATATACATTTCCAAGAACACAGAATTCAGTAGAGGCATGGCATAGGAGATGGGAGACATTAGTGGGTCGTGCACATGTGGGATTATTTAAAATCATAAAGGAGTTGCAAAGTGAGCAGCATCAAATTGAGATTAAGGTTGAGTCAATTCTTCAAGAAAATCCACAACCTAAGCAAAAAAAACATAATAGAAAACATGAAAACAGAATCCAGGTGGTTTATAATGATTAGAAAAATAGACCATTATTAGATTTTCTTCGAGGAATAGCTCACAATATTTCATTTTAATTAGTTTATATATTTATATTTTATTCATTTTATGTATTAGAAGCATTAAGCATAAGTTTTTATTAGTGTTAATATACTGTATGATATGGAATTTCTAAGATATATATAAATTTTAATTACATAAGCATTAAATATAGTAGTATTATGAAATTATATGTTAAATATAGAAAACAGCTAAATAAAATAAGATTTATAATAAATTTTTCATAATGCTATTTTTTTTGTATTTTTTTTATTAACATTTTTAGTTGTCGGTGAAATGATCTTGTTGGTGAAATGATATTGTCAGTAAAATGATTGTCGGTAAAACAACTGTAGGTGAAATGACCCTGTCAGTGAAATGACTGTCAGTAAGTTGATTGTCGGTATCACCCCCGTCTGCCACTCGGCGGTAAACAAAGTTCCCTGCTTCTGTTATATGTGTTCTCAGCGAAATATTAATATTCTTGCTTGGTTTAGTTTTAAATCTTTAACTTAATTTTCATCATTTTCTAAGTCACACACGGACTTCTCAATATACATTAGCCACACTTGGGCTCTAAAGTCACTGGTCTCAGACTTTCTTAATATATAAGCCACACTTGGGCTTCTCAATAAACCATACTCGGGTTTCTCAAAATAATACGAGTCACACTTGGGACTCCTTAATTCTTTATATTCATATTTACTTCATCATTTTAATACTTATTTAACATTAATTAAAACTTAGGCGAACCATAAGTATATTCGAAATAACTTTTAATAATTAACGTTTCTACAAACATTTATGAACCCTTCACCCATATGATTGTGTACATTCCGACTAACCGAACTATTATGTTCGTGCGTTTCTCATATATCAAATGGTAAAGGAATTCATTATTTAACATACAGTGGCTTCCAAAAGTAACTGACCAAAATTTAAAAAATGCGAAATCACGTGTTTGTCAATCAAAACAAATCCGTTAATCTAATATTTTCATAAATAAACAATACAAATGTAGATCTTTAAAATAGTATAAAATAACCCTTGCTTGTACTACATCATTTAGTGATACGTCATCATTTTACCCCAAACTATGGTCAGTAATTTTTGTCACTTAGGAAAGAAAAAAATTTATTTAGAAAAAAGGCATTTTTTATTTATAATTAATAATAAACATTAATAAAAAATACTAGTATACTTACACAATTTCGAACTTATACCTTTTTTTTCTTTTATATTCGAAGACCAAACTTACTACAGAACAAAGAGCACAGGCAATTTTAATGATTGAAAGAGGTTTTGCCTCAAGAGAGATTGCCGCTAAAATTGGTTGTAAAAGTCACATAACAATCCTAAATCTTAAAAAAAAATATGAAAAAACCAGTAAAGTTGAAGATAAGCAACGTTCAGGTCAGCCACGCAAGTTAAATGAGCGTAATGAACGTACTATTATAAGGCGCTTAATGACAAACGAATGTTCAAATGCTGTTCAATTAAAAAAATCCCTACAAATTAATGACGAGATCAATGTCAGCTCCAACACCGTACGAAGAGCATTGAAAAGAAATGGTTTGTCGGCCAGAGTTAAACACAAGAAGCCACTTTTATCCAAAAAACATTGTGAAAATCGGCTTAAATTTGCTAAGCGATTTAAAGACTGGACAGTAAGTGATTGGAATAGAGTAGTGTGGTCCGACGAATCTAAATTTCAAATTTTTGGCTCAGACGAACGTGAATATTGTTGGAAAAGACAAGGAGAAACACTTAAAGACGCTCATATCAAACCTACTGTAAAGTTTGGTAGTGTTAGTGTTTTTGTATGGGGTTGTTTTACTTCAAGTGGTGTTGGTTTTTTGTGTAAAATTGATGGAGGACTGAATGCAGAGCTTTATCGTCAAATATTAAGTGAGGACTTTATGGAGACTTTGCGGTACTATGATTTAAGTGTTTCAGACGTTATTTTTCAGCAGGATAACGATCCAAAACACACTGCTTTACTTACCAAATAGTGGTTTGAGGACAATAATGTTGAAGTCTTGCCGTGGCCATCACAATCTCCAGATCTAAATCTGATAGAACATCTCTGGAACGATGTTGACCGGTGACTCAGGGCATTAAATGTTACAATTAGAGGAAAAGATGCTTTATAGGAGCATGTTTCTCAGATTTGGAATGAAACAACATTAGAGATATGTACCAAATTGATAGAGTCAATGCCGGTAAGAATACAAGATGTTATTAATGCTAAGGGTGGTTATACGCGTTGGTAAATAATGTTTTTTATAATTTTTAACATATTTTTAAAATTTTTTTTTTTAAATTTATTATATAAAGTGAATATGACAAAAATCACTGACCATAGTTTTAATAAATATTGCGTGATTAAAACAAAATTGGTTTATTAAGTATTACTAAAATTAATACATTATAATAATCTTGGAGTATATTATATATAAAATCAATATTGTATTCATATAATATCATATGACCAATAAACATGTGATTTTGCATTTAATAAACGTTTGGTCAGTTACTTTTGGAAGCCACTGTACTTTTTCATCATAAGAAAACAGTATAAAAGAGTCGATAATCATTAATTAATGGGTAAAAAGTACTTTATTTATATTTTGATCTTCATGAAATTTACAACTAACTAAATTACCTAAAATTCAAAATCCTAACTGACGACTGTGGAATTCACTTCCCATTCCACTCCTATTTAAACAAACTTTCTTATTCTTTCTTTTTCTTACTTCTTATCTAATATTTTATGTTATGTGTTATCTTTTATGTACTATCTTTTATGTACTATCTTTTATATGCTATCTTTTAATATGTTATTTTTAATATACTATTTTATATACTATTTTATATATTATCTTTTCTATCTTTCAAATATTACATCGTAAAGAAATAATTTATAACCCATCTTTCGTGGCTGTGCTATCCTTTCTTTAAAATAACATAATCTTTCAAATATTATATCGTAAAGAAATAATCCATCTTTTGTGGCTGTACTATCCTTTCTTTAAAATAACATAATCTTTCAAATATTATATCATAAAGAAATAATCCATTTTTTGTGGCTGTGCTGTCTTTCTGTATCATCTTTTCATATTATCTTTTATATTATCTTTTGCATTATCTTTTATATTATCTTTTGTTTTTCAATATTTCATGTATTTTCATTAAATTCGATTTTAATTCGCTATCGTCTCATTTTATACATTGTTCCCATAATCTATCTTTTGTGGCTTATAGTTCCTCCTTCTAATTATTCCTGTTGATGAACTTGATAAACTGGTTGCTAAGCCGCATTGATCGACCCCCTGATTGATCTATTGGTTCGTCGTTAATCATTTAATAAACATTATATCATGTAGATCATTCCTTCTCCTAAACATTTATCCTTTCCGGCTAATTATTTATCCGATCATGTGACTTTCTACCGTGTAATCTTCTATTCGATATATCATTTATCTATTCCATTAAGTTCGATACTCATGGTTACATTGGTGAGATAATTTTTGGTGAAATAAATGTGTCCCGTATATGCAGTACAAAATGTACTGGTACAGTACAATATGAATCCCAACTTTATATATAATTTTACCATTGTTTTTTTTTATATTTTAATTAGATATTTTTTATCTGTATATAATAGATAGTTCTTTCATAATAATAAAATTATATTTCGTTTTTTGAATTTTAAAAATTTTGAACAAAAATCACATAATATCTTAATATTTCAGATTTTCATATATTTTATATAAATCTGGTTTAGCAAGATTTTTTTGATATATCGGATGTCTTAATATATCAGATATTTTTACTAGAACTAACTGATCTGATTTATTGAGATTGCCTGTGTAAATACAAATGGAATTCAATAGGAATTCAGCAGTCATCTTTTTAACTCAATTATTAATAAAGAAATATTAATAATTAAAAATTATTTTGAATATGCTCATGATATACCTAAGAGTTAATTAATATTTAAATTAATAAAGTAGAATAATAAAATATGGGGAAGTTCTTCAAGTTTGAAAATAATGTTAAAGAAAATAAAATATAGGATAATTAAAAAAAATATTTGTTTATCTACAGATGCCAGAAGGACCCTAAACATTACTAAAACAACTCAGATTCTATATAACTAAAATTTCAAAATGTGATATCCCAGTCAATATTATACCTAAAAAAATGAATTATATATTAAAATGTTTGTCTTGTTGAGACAAATCTAACAAGCCAAAGATTATTAAAATCCAATCACTGAATTCTGAGATAAAAAATTTGAGACTAAAATCTACATATAATTTTATACATTTGGAATAGAAATTAATTATAAGGTTTATACAAATTCAGATCTGAGTTTTTTTAGTAATAATATTCAGAATTCTATGGCAAACATGGGTAACAATACCATTTTTGACTTATATATAAAAAACTGTTTTTACCAATCATTTCCTAAATTTTTTTAAGAGTAATCAGCAAATTAATTGCCTTATGTAAACTTTGTAAAGCAGGTAAAAATCCATTTATCTACTAATTTTGAAGTTTATACTATTAGTTAAAATGGTAATAATCATATGATTCAGATTCAAATACCTATATACTGTTAAAGTAGAAATGTGGCGCAGTAATTTTATGTAGATCAATTTTGCAGACCATTTTGTAGATCCCTTGATTTTTTCAATTTTCTTGATTTTCTTGATTTATTTGATAAATCTGATAAATTTGATAAATTTGATATATTTGATTTATTTATTTTATTAACTTTATTTATTTTATTTGTTATATTTGATATATTTATTTTATTTAATTTATTTATTATATTTATTTTATTTTATTTATTTTATTTATTTGTTTTATCAAATATTCTTAATTTTTATTTTATTATAAATAGTGATAGGATTTACCAAGTTAAAGGGGTAGTTCGTTAGTTTTACAGTCAATTAGTTAAGAATTGTATTGTAGTTTTTGAGTTATATGAAAAGAGTATTATTTCTAGTAGTATAATTCAAGATAGTTAATTTCGCAACCAAGAGATTATCTATATTTTTCGTCGTATCTAAAATCTTATTTTAATAAAAACCTATTTTCTTTAACTGAACATCCAACGTTATTTCACATGATTATTTGTAATCAATCTAAAACTCTCCTATTAAGTTAAACTCCAGTTAACCTGTTAAAGCGTTAAAGTTTTTCAGTCAGCTTTAATCATTACCAGGATAACAATACAAATAGAAATTGCCTTTATTTTATAATAATCTTTGTTACATTAAGATATTTTAATTTGTAATTTGAAAAATTTTCACAGGTCGAAAAGTAAAAAATCAGGCATCAATCAGTTACCAATCGGTTACCAATCAGCTATCTGATTTGTGACCAATTGGTGACTGATTGATGCCTGATTTTCACTTTTTGACCTGTGTTTTGATTAACTCCAAATTTAGTACATCATATATTTGGTACATCAAAATTATATAATCTTTAATATTTAATAGATTACTGATTTTACTTTAATTTCTTTGAAGTTTTTAATTCAATAATTTTTCAAAAATTAGATGGCTTAAACTTTAAATAATAAAATGTTTTAATGTTGTAAATAAAATGTAATTTATAATTTACAATTTGATTTTTGAATTTTATAAAAAAATATTATATTGGCTGTATATGTATACCCTATTATTATTATTAAAAATAACTATTTATTTTTTTTAAAATTAGCTTTTAATATTTTCGTTATTTCCAATTTTAATTTTTTATCTAATTCTTTATTTTGTGAAAATTCTTCTGCTAACTTTAATGAAGTTATACTTTTTAAATTTTGGATTTGTTCTTTTCTAAATTTATTCCATTCACTACTTATCTTATCATTTATATAATCAGTTAGCTTATCTGTCATTACATTTGTTAAACATCCTAATGCTTGAGTTTTGATTTTATTTAAAACAAATTTTGTTATATACTCTTCATATTTTTTTATTAAATCTTCTTTTCCTTTATAACTGTACTCCTTTTTTCTTAACTTATTATATTTGCTTAATATTCTTATTATTTCTAACTTATGATTGTTATATTGTTTAAAATCTATTTCTTGTGCTTTGTCTTCATCAAATTCTTCATCATTTATTACTTTATCTTTTTTTAATAATATTATTATTTCTTTTGCATCTTTTAAATCTATTTTTGGCTTTAACCCCCTTTCTAAGATTATCTCAAATGTTTGTTGTTTATATGATTCTTTTATCTTAGTTTTAAATGTTGTTGATATTTCTTTTGCTGCTTCTTTTGCTACTTTATTTATTTTATTTAATATTATTGTTGAATCTACAACTTTAGCTGCTATTGCAATTCCTTTAAATACTGGATGTTTATCTTTTATTATTTCTTCTAATCCTTCATCTATTAACTCTCTAAACATATTTCGCTTATCTTCTAAAATTTTTAATGTACTTGTTGTAATTTCATCTAATTCTACTTCTTCAAATAATATATCTGTTGCCATTAACTTATTTAAATATATTAATATAATTTGGTCATCTAGGCTTACTCTTAATTCTTTTAATATATTCTCTTTTACTTTTTCTTTAAAAAGACTTACAAATTTATCTGCACTAGTATCTAATAATGTATGTATGCATTCCTTTATTACCATATTTTTTCCTATTTTCTTTAATATGGATATAATTGAAAAATTGGATGAATTAGAAGAATTATTAGGTATTTGTATTTCTTTTGGAAGTTTATGTAATTTTGATAATACTGTTTTTGCTCCTAATAAAACTAAATCCATTGATATACTAATTGCTTTTTCACTAATATAATCGTTTAGGTCAAATTTTTGCTTTTTTATTAATAAGTTTATTATATTTATTAAATCCCTAATACCTTCTTCTATAAAAAATGTCCCTAATTCATCAAGTCCTTTGTATAAACAAAATGCTCCTATTCCAATTTGTACCACTCCTGCTATTCCTAAGAATATTACTCCAACCCAATCTATTGCAAATTCTATATCAAAAATATAATATAATCCTTCATTTTCTAGTTCTCTTATTTCCATGTTTAAATTCTTATCTTTATTAAAATAATCATCTAGTCTAATTTTGTTTATTTTAATGTTTGCTTCATTATCATTACTAAATTTTTTAATTGTTTCTTCAATATTACATTTAATTGCCTTCAATATTTCTATTTTGTTAATTATTTGCTTTAATAATTCACAACTTTGACCTAATGGGAGTGTTATTTGTATATATTCTAAGTAAGGTATTAATATTCCATTTATTTGATCTTTTGCTATTAATAAGTTTTTAATGGCTTTTTGTTTATAGTTTCCTTTCTGTTCTTCAATTACTGCATGAGCTAAATTATAACGTGCTGGCAATGAATATATTTTTTCTAAATTACATGCACCTTCTAATATATCTATTTTTTCTTTGACTTCTGACTTTTCAATTCCCATTTGTACCATATATGCTGAGTTTTTCATTATTTTATTGCCTGTTTTATATTCTTCTTTTATTTTATTAAAGAAATTTTTAAAATAACTAATTCCCTCATTTCTTTTTGCTAGATTGCATTCTTCTACTTCTTTTGACTTTTGTTTTATAATTTCATCTATCAATTTTTTTAAATCTTTTCTTTCAAAAAGATTTGTAATACTTTTATACTCAGTAGCTTTTACTTCTACTTTTATTGAATACTTTTCTATTATATCATAATTATACGAAACTTTTCTTAAAGGTCTATAATTTTTAAAATATTTTTTATTTCCATCTTCTAAACCTATATAAATCGTTTCTTTCACATCCTTTATTTTGTAAATCATCAAATTTTCTTGATTGCTACTTATTATTACTATATTTCTTCCTAATACTGAAGTCAAACTTTTTAATGCCTTTTTATCACTAAAACTTTTTGCAGCTTTTTTATAAAAATTAATATCATTACGGTAATACATTCCAGTAAAATTATCTAAAAAATAACCTACTGCTAGCCATAGCAACTGCTCACTACTTGCTTTATTTCCTAAACTTACACTAATTGCCTTATATAAACTAAACATTGCTTCATTATTACCATATGGTTTAAATCCAAATTTTTTCGCTACTTGTTTTAGTTCTTCTCTTGTTTTGCTATCATAAGCTAATGTTTTTTCAAATATTTTTAGCTCTAATCCCCATTTTTCTTCTACTTGCAGTAATTTATATTTATATCTCTTATCTTTTTCTAATATGTCTAATATCGTCTTTTCTTTCTTCTTATTTTCTTCTATCTCTCGTAAATCATTATCAACCTCTAAATATATTTCAAATAATTTATCTCTTAATTCAACTTCTTTTGCCTTATATAATTTAACTGTTTGTATTCTTATATATTCTTTACTATCTCTAAGTTGCTTAAATTCATATATATTACTTAAAATTCCAGTCATATTTAATTTGTTTTCTGTATATATTTTATTAATTATTAATTGGGCTGTTCCTTTTGCTCCTTGTCTTGCTGTTTTCCCAAATGCTTGTTCCTCTACCCTTGAGTTTGATGGTAAAAAAGTAACTATTACATGTAAACCTCCATTCTTTTCAACGCTAAAACTTGTTTTGATATCTGTTCCTCTTCCTGCTAAATTTGTTGCAATTATTACATCTCCTGAGTTAACTCTTTCTTTTACTGCTGAACATTCATCATTATCATTTCTAGAATATAACCTTATTTTCCTTGTTGAATAAACTTCTATTAGAATATCATAAATTGTTTTTACATTATCTATTGTCTCGCAAATAACTAGTACTGCTCTTCCTCTTTCTCCTTCTTGCTTTATATTACTCACTACTTCCATAATCCATGCATTCTTATTACTGGTCACTATCCCTTCTAACTCTTTAAATTTTTTTGCTTTATATGTTGGCATAAATCCAAAATCTACTGTATAAATTGAGGATAACATATCTTGGTCCTCCTTAGATCCAATTGTTCCTGTTAACCCATATATCTTAGCACCATATTTTTAAAATATCCCATATTTGAAACAAAGCTTGTAGCTACTGATTCAGGTGTAAGTTTGAGCCCATGCTTTATCTGCAGAAATTGATGCAATCCATCAGAAAATGTCTCATTCTCTTGCACTATTCCCGTGCTTTCATAGTCAACTGGTGCAATATTCGAGTTTTCATTTTTACCTTTTACTGTTAGATATTCTATCTTCTCTTGATATACATTCCAACTTTCAATTGCTGATTTAACAAACTCTTCTACTGACTTTAAACAAAAATCTCTTAAAAAATCTGGCAGTTCTATTTTCCTTTTTTTTATTATATTTATTGTAAATTCTGTTAAATATTCAGAGATAAATTCATACCAATTATTTATTTCATAGCATTTTATCTCTTCTCCTAAGATAAGTTCTCCTCCTTCTTTGAACTCACCATCTAAATATATTAAATTCTCTTCTGTCCGTATTATTCGCTTGCTTAATCTAGTTAACTCATTTGCTACCCCACAAAATACTGGATTTAAATATTCAAACCCTGCCAGTTCTCCTGTTAACCTTGCACTCCTGCTACAGTCATCAATTATCATGGTATCTACTTCATCTACAATTACTACACCAAACCCTCTATTTCCTTTAGTACCTATTTTCTTATGTTCATGTTTTAGCCAATCAAACTGAAATTCGCTTACATCCCCATATACTATATTTTTAAAATAGCAGTTCTTATTTGTTTCTAATTGAATTCCATTACGACCATCTACTATGCTTAATGAATAGTCTTCGCCTTCATTAGACCCACAACTGATTCCTAATATTTTATAGAAACTTTCTCTCTCTTCAGCATCTCTTTTCGCTAAAATAGGGGAACTTGTTATTATATCCACATTCTCTCCTTGCAATACCTTAATACTTGCGAGCATAGCACATATGGTAGTCTTTCCTTCTCCTGTTGATATTTGTAACAATCTTCCTTGTTCATTTGGTGACACAAAGAGTAATATAGCTAAAACTTGTGTTATTCTCAGATTATGCTTACAATAAAGGAAATTTGTCCTCTTAAGAACTGCTATCATTTCTTCTAAAAACTCTGGATTCTTTGTAATTTCTGTTCCTTTTATAGAATCTGCCCAATTTCGTATATTCACTTTATTCCAATGCTTAATTTCATTTCCTTGTGGAAAAACTTCCGAATCATTTTCAAAAGCTTTCATAACTTTATTTACTTGAACGCTCAAAATTCCTTCATTTACTAAATCACAAATTTTAGGCTTATCATAATTAAGTCGTAGAATTTCTCTTAATAACTCCTCTAAAGTCCTTTCTTCACTAGTCATATTGGTGAATTTTTAGGATTCAAAAGAGCGGGTTACACTGTTTTTGCTAGAGGTGTTAAAATACAATTTTGAGAGTCGATTTTTTCCCAAGCTATTATATGATAGTTGAACTGATATGGAAAATGTAACATGCGTACGTATACTTGTCACCCATTCCCAAAAAAGGAAATTGTAACAATGCACTTGCCGATGCGGCAATACGTTCCTTTTAATGGAAAAGGACGATCTACTTCATTGCATAAAAATCATAAAGGATATTCAAAATGGTATTTTTTTTATGCATCAAGTATTTATTCTTAATCATTATCCTAACAATTAAAATTTTCATAGACAAATGTGAGTTATTTGTTTTTACATTTTTAATTTAATTTTTGTTCTTTTTCATGATACAAAAAGAAACGATAACATTTGGGATGATGATCAATTCGAAAAGCAATATCTGAACCTACGTTTATCTGTCAATATATTGTTCACATTATTGATTATTTGCGAAGCGAAATAAAAAATATTCATCTTGCTTGGTAAGTAATTTGAATTTGAAGTTATTGCAAAAATACTTTTTTAATTATTTTAACTTATAGGAATAGTGTTGAGAGCAAAGTTTTGCAAAGATTCCTGGGACTATTTATATTATCAATGTGAAGACCTGGATTCATTCAACCATATATCACATATATTAAGTGTATTAAACTTTATGCTTTACATATACTGTACATGGTTAGTATTTCCTAGCATTATTTTGGTTCGACCCGTTATTTCACATGCAAGAATTATTAAAAATTGATTTACTAACAGATATACCAAGTGACCTGATTACGTTTATTGAAACCTTGGTAACAACTCGCAATCTTCTCAACGAAACCATCATTCAAATAGAAATTATAGAGAAATTGATAAATGCGAATAATAAGAAAATTTCCGAGAATAATAACTTTGATAATCGTGATGATTCATCTTGTAGTAGTAATGGGATGTCTGTAAAATTGATACCAACTGTTCCTACGCCGCAGAACAAAGGAAAGTAAAGACGTCTTGACACGTTTGCTTGAATAGAGAAATTCGCAACCGGTATCGAGTCAGAAAATATTTTTGGATCCATGACTTTATATAGAAATATTTTTACGTAATTTTTGGGTAATATTGATGTCCAGCTTGCGCTTTATAAGATTTCAATTTTCAAATTATTGGTAATTTATGCGAGGAATGTCATTAACCCGAATTACGTTCACGAGCCACATTTGGCGCAATAATCAGACTTTTATTGACCAGTGCTGTCTGTCACAATATTCAAATAAAATGTAATAATTCATAATTTTAAAGTTTAAAAAACCCATAACCGAACTGGAACGAAAAAGAAATATGACCACATTAAATCTAATTATTTATTAGCTATTAATGTTTCTAATATTTTGACTTTTAAAATAATCTTTCACGAGAATAATCTGCAGTTGTATATCGATATAAATCGGCACATAACGTCATAACGTCATAAATGGACATGTACACAAATGTACTGAAATTGTATCGGATCATCATTCAACATCGGAAATCACATGATCGCGTAACACAAGAAATTTTCCGATATCGTACTGGTGGATCTCGTTTACTTCTGGCATTCTCTTGGCAAACGGGACAAAATTTCATGATCGGAAAATTTTGTGTAATTCTGATCGTTCCCTGAGGGAACGGAACGGTTTTAATAATTCAGGATAAAATTTCGATCTGTAGTTTAATAATCCTTGGCATCCATGCACTAAACGTTATTATGTATACGAAAACATTTTTTTATTTTCCAATGCACAATACGTCATCATAAAAATCATTCTTGATACAATGTATGTGCTATGACATGTAGATTAAATCTTGCAGAAGATTTTCTATACTAAAACATCCCGGTCATCACCCCAATAATACTAACTCATAATCGGTTTTCTAATCATTGATACTATACGGAAAGTGCACTAATTGAGCATAACGCAAAACAGCATCTATTTGTGCATTAATACTAAGATTAAAATATATGGCAAAGATATATAATGATAGCAAAAGTAATTCGTTAATGTTAGTGTATGTATTATAAAACAATTAATGTCTACGGTAATCTATTATATTATTCTAACTTAAATACATAAACTCACTCGAATAATCCCTCAGGGATTTTCAATACATGTCGAACTGTCGTTCCTTTGGATCGAAGTACAACTCTATCAATCTCGCCCATAAGTTCTTCTTGTTTCGTTATTTCATTCTGGAGAAAAAGTACCACCCCCGAATAAATATTTTGGGAAAATAAAAAAATCATAAGATACACATACATGAAAAATAGCCATCATCCTGAAGATAGCTTTGAACTGATTCCGGCCATGGAAGCTAAAAGGGACTACTGCGGTAGCAAGTTCTGAAGAGATAAACCTTCCATCTGGGAGCATACTAAGTGCATAGAGAGTCATCCGAGTGCCTAAAAAAGTAAAACATAAGTAACAGAAAATTTCAACCTCACTAGCTATACAGATATATCACTTACCAACAACCTGGGTACAAAAAACTTTTATTTTTGTAGCGAGTTCCACACTACAATCAAAATGGTTTCTCAATATTGCAATTAAATTTAACACATCCATACGGAGTGTTTTTTTTGTATCGCCCAAGGTGTGTGTGTCCGTCGCGTTACATGGTCCGCCAGCTACCTCCATGTGCCATATACTTAATCCATCGTAATGTCTAGTCGCTATGGAATCTACCTTGACAATTCCTGAATTTGTCACGGATTTCGTAATTCTTGCGGAGCGGGCATGAGACTCGATCCAGTCGAAATCGAGGTTAAAGAATGTTCTCTCATAATATTTATAAATTGACGAAATTTGGTAAGTTATGTATTTACGTTCGCCTATCTTTTTGTCCATCGTGGGGTTAATATCAACTAGATTGTAGCTAAAGATTTGTTGTCAGTATTTTTTTTCTCTTGATTAACCGATAAGTCTCTACATTTACTTACAAATCAAGGAAGACTTTTTCACAGTACAATCGGAAAAGGTCGTCCGGAACATCAACTAACGTAGCATTTTTAAATTGTTTTCCGGATTTTTTTAGGACATTGTCAATGTATTTTTCTAAATCGGGCGTCCATATTTCAGGGTTAATATCGCGTACAGAAGAAAACTTGTTTGCAAGCTCCGCGCCGATTACTAAATTCAACTCGGCGATCGACTTATCAAACGCGCATATCACAGATATATCTTCAGAATACAGTTCCACTGCCAGAAATTTGCTGGTGGATGTGGACTTGATTCCTTGAACGCTCTTTATCCCAATCAATCGCCTTCTTTTTATCGGATCGAGGTTCCTTGAATAAAATGTTTTGAAATTAGTAAAACTCTTTTCAACTCTCATTGATTTTCATTCGATTTCTAATCCCATCAGAACATCAGACAAGGCTAGGAGGTCATCTGTACCCTAATGGGTCTAGTGCTGGATTGACTAAGAGTCTTTTTAACAACAGACAAGCTAGGAGGTCATCTGTGCCCCATTACTAGTTTGGTGGCTCAACTAAGAGTTTTGAATGACGAACAATCTAAGAGATTTCGGTCCGTCACGCCACATATTTCAACACTTTCAGCAAAAAGATTTTTACTTGCCTTCTTATAATCATCGTATAACAACTTTGCTTTGTCACACCTTTTTCCCTGTTCACTGTTCATAATCAACTCAAGAGATTTAAGGTATGTGTCTATTTTGAGTTTGAAAGGTTCCTCAGTAGATTTGTTTAAAAAATCCAAAATACCCCAGTGCTCAGAATTTCGTTTGAAGTAAACATGAACAGGCATGGGAAGTATGGGAAGTTATTAAAGTGATGTCTTACGAAACAAAATCAATAATACAGTATGATAATCGTTCACACTTCCAACCAATAGAAGCGGGATCTAACGGCTAATCACATGATAAGCTGATAAGCTTATTACTGCGCATGATGTATTGCCATCCACGTGATTCGAAAAAAAAAGAAATAGATAATCCAAATAATTCGTCTTGCGTTCTGCCCGATAATTCTCCTAGGCGGTACCGGAGAGGTAATAGGACTCATCATTGGGGAGGTTTTTCTTTCGTATCTTCCGTCACGAGAATAATAACCTCTATCACATTCACCATATTCATTATATCCACCGTATCCATTATATCCATCGTCTGGTATCTCTTCTTCAGAATCACTGTTGCGATTACAGTTACTATCATCGTCTGTCTTAACTGATTGCGAAACAACTTCTTCATTCGTTTCTTTCACCGACTGAGGTGTGGAATCATAATCAAGTTCTTCATCAAAATATACATCATCATAGTCGATTGATCTCTGCCTTAACTGGAGCGATTTGAGGTGTGGATGATGTATTTTCTTCAGGTATGGGCAATTTTTTTCCGGGACATAATGTCTCGGAAATTTCAGTCACATGATCAGTTACTAGAGATAATTGTTCCGAAGATATTCCACAATCTATAACCTCTTGAATTTGCTCATTAGTAAGCTCTGAAATAGAAGTTGCACTATAAGATTTTATATACTTGATTTTATCCAGGCCCACTTGTTCGATAAATTTATAGACTTTCTCAGCTCTCTGAGTTTTCTTGCGCAAACTATCTCGTGATACATCTCGAAGTTGTAACCCCGTTTCTTGGGATCTCTGTTTACGAAGCAAGTTAAGCTGTTTTGTAATGGAATCATATAGTAAGCCTTTTGCCTTCTTTTCACCAAATTTATCTCCACTGTTTTCTATAATCCATTGAGCTGAATTATGAAATCCTTCGCATAGAGGCACCGGCATAAAATTTCTTCCTGATTAGCTCGATTTGCTTTATCTTCAGCGTCAAAAGCTCTATCGCATAACTGAGCTAGATGTTGTAAGGCTTCATCAATGCTAGATTTGTTATCAGAGGTAAATTTTCCGGGACATAATGTCTCGGAAATTTCGGTCACATGTTCAATCTTGTGTAGACAACTCCGGAGCAAATAATTCTTGCTTAAGCTTATTCACACCCTTCCCCTTCTTGCACTTTGAATTAGCTGATAAGTAATCGAGTCGAGAACTTGAGGCCTTTTCTCTTCAGGAGATATTGGAAGAGACTCTTGAGCTTGAAGTTTCTTCTCTCTATTACGTTGTCTAATCTCATTACTAACCTTTTTCTTATGCACCTCATCCAAGAAAGCGTCCGTTTCCTTGTCTTCAGGTAATGAAGTATCCACCGATGATTTCTCGTGATGCGTTACCATGGGTACCTGATCTGCAACCAAATTGAAGTTAGATGAACTGAGATTAGAAGAATAATCATTTAGTGTCTGCTTCTGTTCCACTTTCATAATTCTATCTCTAAACTCAGATTCCAACTCCTCGATTCTGGCCTTGAGTTTGGCATTTTCAGCATCACGCCTCTTATTATATTCCCCATTCGCTCTTATTCAGCATCAGACACTGAGAGCTTGATTCTAAGACCGGAATTCTCAGCCTCAAGCTCAGTGATGCGCTGTTTCAATAATTCAAGCTCGGATGACATGATCTATATATATAACTAATACACTGTACATAATTATTCAAAATAAAAATATATACGTATTTTTGGCCGGGGCCCCCGGCTGAAATTTGCCAAGAATTTTTTTTATTTACAGCTGTATTCATAAGACCTGGGACAAAATAAATTTTTGAACCCGACCGCCGACCCACCGATCCGGTTCAGTTGTTATTTATTTTACAAATCAAACTATCAAATCAGGATCACGTGCCCATCTAAAAATACCGGATCGGCGGATCGGGTTCAAAACTTTAGTTTGTCCCAGGTCTTATGTGATACATTACGAATTTTCTATGCCTAAATCCCCGCAAGATCACCTGACCTTACCCTTTTTATTTTTCACCGGCTTCTGCGCTTCTTCTAAAACCATAAAATATGACCAAGGACTTTTTCCGCCATGTCTTTCATACCCTCATCCTTCATACGCAACAAATAGAGGCTTCGACAGCTTAAACACTAGTTTCCTTTCATTTTCTAATGTACATTCCATAAAATACCATTTTTCCGCATCTGTTACAATTCCTATACTTTATCCATATTCGTGCTCGTCGTCTATTTCATTCGCTTTGCGCTTGCGAGAAAGAGAAGATTCCATCTGCACAGTAGCCTGAGCAAAGCCCTGCTTAAAGTCATCTTTTTTGACCTCGATCAAACCAATTGTTCTCCCGGTTGTACGCGATTCAATTCCATAGTCAAGATTCCCGCGTCCATTTTTACCTTCAACCAACTTCTCAGGTACTATTTTTATTTGGCTTTTAAACGGGAAAGTTGCAGAGGCGAGATAAGTGTAGGAATAGATGCTTTTTGTGGGGTTGTTGCAATGCGTGTCTCCAATTCATCAAAAAGTTTTCGCAATGCCTCTTTATACTTACCATCCTTCGTGTCCACAGAACCACAATGAAAAACGGGATATACATCAATACTAGGATTCGGGTCATCGCTAAGCTCATAGAGCTCACACACTTTAGGGAAGGTCCAGGAGTTGAATACTGTCAGATCTTGACAAATTTATTGGTAAACTAACAGCCATACTAGCAAGGGATAAAGAAGTAATGGCAGTAAACTTGGAAAATTTATCAAAGAAGTGTAAAATTTATATCGCTAAAAATGATAAATGGCAAAAAAAAGATCATGAATATATCGACAAAGTTAAAGAAATCCTAAAGATGCTCCCATGACATTTGAAGAGGCACAGGAAAGAGATGATGTGAAAAAATTAGCAATTACTATATTTGAGTACTGTGAATATAAGCTCATAAGGAGATTGAACAAACTTAGGAAAGATATAACCGTCAATAAAGACAAAAAATATATTAATTCTTTTTTAGATTATGCTAAATCTGAAAATGTTGATGTTATACTTAGTGAAATCCACGCTATTATTAGAATTAGTTAGGATTAGGGTTAGGGTTAAGGTTAGGGTTATATCTATGTTTTGTTACCATTATTATCCAACAGCAAAAAAGGATCTGACAATTCCGGAAAAATTTTTAAGACATATGAAAAAAGTAGCGTCCTATACTACATCTTTTATTGATATCACAAATTGCGCATGTAAACAAAAGTACAAACCTCTTTTTTCTTGCATAGAATTGGAATTATTGAATCCTAATACGGTCGATAAAACCGTATCTTCATGGAGTGATACTGTCGAACATTATTTTCTTGATCGAACTAATTATAAATTTGATGAATTTAAGAAAAGATGTTTGAATGATCCTGTGATAAAGAAAAATCTAGTACGTGTATATGGCAAAAATGGCAAAGAAACGCCAGGTATGTTGGACTGTGAAGTAACAAAAAAATTGTGTTTACACGCAGAATTAAACGTATTGGTCAAGTTAATGGGGCAAGAAGGACATTGGTTATATAGCAGTATCTAAAAAATGGTGTTTTTTATGTGATTTGTATATCAAATTTCTAATATCCAAAGGGCAAAGGGTATAAAATTACCATTTCTGGATCACATAAGAAGCTATACCATATTTGGAAACTACCAGATGCCCCTTAAGCAAGAATTCATAGATTATGCTATGTTTGAACTCGATAATATCATACGACTAGAAATAATTAACCATACTAATATAACTGCTATCTCTGATAGTGATCCAGATAGTGGTGATTCAGATACTGATCAAAATTTTTCTACTGTGGGATTGAATAAATTAGATTATAATTACAAACATCGTAATTATCGTGAAACAAAGATAAGCTATTGTGCTTTGCGTTGATTAACAACTATTATTAACCAATTATAGCATTATGATTGGACAGATTTGACCACGTACACAATAACGATAACGTTAATCAATCCGTAGTCTGATAAATCAAATCGGCACATTTAAAATTATTTTAGCAATCTGGATTTCTCAAACATTATTATCACAAATATGAAAAATTGTATAGCTTACTTCTTCGCGATTTTTTGTCATGTAAAGTAAAAAGCATAGTTCAAGTTACTATTGCAAGAATAAGGGAATATCTTGTCTTAACTTTTCTATTCTTTCTGCTACCTATATTTTTCTCAATTGCTATGTAAAACTTGTGCATGTTTGGTCGCTTCTCCATTTCTTCCTTTTTATCAATAAAGTATAAAAATTGGCACACACAACTTACATAATTTAAAAAGGTTCAAGTGAAATCTTTATTTTGTTAACGGTTGTTTCTAATCAATAAATGAGAGTTCCTTCCCCTCCATACTACCTAATGCACCTATTTAACCAATTGTTATATATGTTTTTATGTCGCACAGGCATTGCATCATTACACGTGACCGCTTTCTCATGTACTGGTAAAATAATAATAATGAAATAAATAGAAATAAAATAAATAAATAAATATTTATGAAATAAACTCGCCGGAAGCGGACAATAATATATAAAAATTGCAAATAGATCGCTTTACATGATGCAAATATAGGTAAAAAAAAACCTCTAACTACTCGTTAGGGAAGAATTCAGATGTGAATACGATCCTCATCATCAGGCGTCTCGTTAAAATAGGAAAAAATCCTATCTTCTGTTCGTATAGGGCTTCTCCTCAGGATAAATTTTACGGAGGAAGTCATTATGTTCGATTGGCCCCAACCTTTTTCTCACTTCATTTTCAAGATCTGAAACTTTTTTTATCCTTAGAAATCTCAAGCGCGAAAATTATATTTTTATTTTCTGCATTACGATAGCGGAAGTTAAGACTGATAATATCATTATCTGCACTGGAAGACAAGGCCCATTGTGAGAAATTTTCGCTTGCATGTAAGCATAACTTATGGCATATACTGTACATACCTTAAAATTTTTGCGGGAAAGTTGGCTTCCACATACCACTACATGCTTTGTATCTTACTAGGAAAAAGTTAAGGAGATATGAGTCATAATTAGCATTGTCGTATGATGCCAAGAGTTCCATGAAAGCACATATAGATCTATCTTGCAAGACACAAACTTGGTTTTACGCCTGGCGATCTCAAAATTGCGAAGTCCTCAGCTCTTCATAGCATATGCTTTCGTCGACACTATTTACTTATAGAGTATGCCCTGTGTTGCAAATAGACACTCTTTCACATTTTTCTCATGTTTGTTCAGGAAAAAATATCCCCCAATCTTTGATCTGCGGAATGATAGTCTAAACATACTTTGAAAGATATTGTATTAGAAAGTTTATTAGAAACTATGAACCTAAACATGCTTGAAGGCATTGTATTCGAAAAAAATTATTCAGAGCTATGAACTCGTTTTCATCCCGAACGAAGGGCCGAAAATTAATATGTCGCACAGAGCTTGTCTAGTGATCCATATATTTGTCACATGGTGATCAGGAGTACACACATTGTGAGCTGATGATCACCACTCAGATTTGTCTCTTTGTTTTCTGCTCGAACATTTCTATCATTTCAACTAGAGCATGATCTAATTCAAACCTCGCAACACAAATTATACATGAAAATATACTTGAGACAATCATCACTGTTTCGTTATACTTCTTTAGCCTCAAATAATAAACTGTTACTGGATAATTGCCTTGAACTATTTTCCCAAATCTGGAATGAAATGTCCCTTCTAGTGTTTCACACATAAAATCTTGAATTACCGATCTTACACTGACCGAGGTCAAGATGTTTGAGTTTAGGACATAAACGCGCAATAGCACGAATACCCAAATCCCACAGTTATATATCAAGATGCTCTAATCTATTGCACTGATGCAACGTAGTGTAAGAGTGCCTGAAATTTTCTTTTTGACCCATAGGACCCTAACAGAATCAAGTAAAACAAATATGTTTCTCAATCACAGAAGGAATATAGCTTTGAGAGAAGCTTGATTTAGTGTTTCAATCCGTTTATCCGCAATCCGTATTCGTGGACGGATATCCGCCATTTACGGTTATCCGGATAGGATTTTTTAAACGATATCCGTAACGGATATTATCGTGTGAAAAAAGTTTTTTTTATTTTCAGCTTTTCTAATTTCGTTAGATCCTTCGTTCTTCGACCACCTGGACTTCGGAGACAATAGTTAGGTTAACTTTTTTATTTCTTTTTTCCGTTACTTTTTTCATTTTTCTTCTTTAAAGTCCTTAGACTTTGGAGACAACGGATGGTTAATATTTTCTAATTTCCTTTTTCGCTTCTTTTCTTTCACTAATTTCGTTTTTCTTCTTTAGATCCTTCTTTAGATCCTTCGGTTCTTCGGCCACTTAAACTTTGGAAATATCGTAGTAAATTCCCATATATTTAGATTATCAGAGGATATCCGGATAATTTTCAATCCGTCACTACGGATATCCGGATTGTATTTTATTAGACGGATCAGATTGACGGGTGACGGATATTAATCGGATCGGATTGACGGATAATGGATTATCCGCGGATTGAAACACTATTTAATTTCCCGAATACCGAAACCAATATCCGAATCCCCGAATCCCATTAGATATCCCGAAATGGAAAATTTCCCGAACCCATCCAATATTATTAACCCGAATCAAAACCATTATCCCGGAGCAACATCCTAAAATAAAAATTACCTATTATAAACAAAAATATAACTGATAATGACTCTTATTGGATTTTATATTCAATTAATGCTAATTACTTGTTTTTTATGGTAAAGAGTCAAAAATTTTCCATTCCAAACATAAATGGTTGAAAATATTGTCGTTTGTATAAGTATTAGTTATTTACTAATCTAGTAGTATATAATATTTTCTATCACCTAGCTTACTAATTGGTATTTAGGATTTTTTCCGCCAATTATAAACTGGCAGACCAATTAGTATATCTGGATGATAAAAAAGTTATTTATAACCCATTTATATACTACTAGATAGATGTCTGGATCAGTAAATAACTAATACTTTTATAATATAATACCCTTAAAATATATATATGTATGATGCAAATTTTTAAATTACGTCCATACATCTTTATATGACTTAACTACTGTAGTTATTACATATGACTTTACTAATTTACGTCACAGTTACGGCTAATAAGTTTGCACCTTTAATAATAACTTTTGCCCAATTTAACGACTAACCATAAATATATTTATGATAATATTACCCAATGACAAATTTTTAATCTTTTCCCATTTTACCGGCAATAAATCAATAAAGACTAACAAAAAAAAGAAATTGTGACAATACCTGCTTTTAATTAGAGTTTAGAACCAGTTCTATTTTTGAAAACCAAATTGTGCAACCAGTTCAATCTGTTTCAAACCGGTTTTACAAAATCCGAATAACCAATTTGCACAACTGGTTTTATATTTGATAATTCTTTATATAGAGTTTCCGAGGTCCTGTTACAGGTCAATTTTTAAATTTTTAATCTTTTATATGATATATTTTCACATCCTTTCTAAACACATTGCATTGTTTTAAATAATTATGCATATTATCGCATCTATCTATATTGATTTCGGGGTATTAATAAAAAACGATAAACAAGCAAATTAGCCCCGACATGCATATTTACATCAAATTGAGTTAGAGATGGTCAGTCGGTCCTGCGGTCTTTGATCGGTCCTGATCGGTCTTTAGGAAATTTTTGGAAAAGTAATAAGGCTGTGCTTCCAATTTTTTGTAGCACAACAGAACTGATTAAAGACCAAAAAGTGGTAAATTTTGGTCTCAATCTAATCACCCAATTTAGAGCTAGGCAGGTTTTTATTTTGCCAAAACCAGTATTTTTTGCTTTTTTCGGTCTTTTTCCAATTTCGCCTCTGCTGGTCTTAAAAAAAGAAGAAGTATAAAGGCCAAATTTTGACATTTATTGGTCTTTAGCCATACTTGCTGCGCCTTAAAAATTCAAGGGTGCATTCCTTATAACTTTCCCAAAGACCGGGCAGGACCGTCCAGGACCGAAAGACCGACTGACCATCCTTAAATTGAGTAGCACAATGTTTATTACATAAATGACCAAATTTTGACCTGTAAATTTATTAGAGACGAAGCTTTCAAAGCAACTCACTTTTGAACTTTAGAATACAGTACTATATATTATAATTCAATTAAATGAATTCCACCGTTGGATTTTGGGGAGAACCCACTTCTACAGGTATTAATGACTATTTTTTTAGAAATTTTATATTCATTACGCCACAATATTAACTGATCATTCGAAAAAAATATATATATATATAGTTGGTGAGTTAATATTCGATTTTTCTTATTTGTTACTTAACTGCTAGCTATACACATGTCTTTATTTTTAAAAACAATTTCGTTGGATTCGTACACTAGATTGGTGCGAGAATAATTATGAAGTATCATATTATATCGCGGAATTTTTTAATACCTTATCATCGTTATGTCTCATTTGCGCAGGAATATTTGGCTCTATGATGCATTCTAAAGGTTTTGATTATAGATTTTCATTATGTTTTATAGCGTAAGTTTTATAAATCAAATAATTTCACCTTTGCACGAAATTAATCGCTTTCAATGATATCTTTAGAATTACGTTTATAGGATTTGGGTCAATTCTATTTCACGGAACGCTAATATTCCCGTTTGAACATTTTGATGGAATACCAATGATTTTTTATTTATTGATATTATTTTATTCTGTAAATGAAAATAAGAAAGAAAGAAAATTTGGGAACTGGTTTCCGATCACCCTTTTCTTGTGGGGATTGATTTTTTCGATATTATTAATATTTTTGGGGGAATATTATGAAAACAGAATAATGAAATTAGTTGAATTTTATATCTTTCAGGGTAGGAATTTTTACTTAAATTGACGTACCGAAAATTCGAGTAAATTGCAATTTTAACTATTATCATCTCATTTAAATAGGTTCTTTCTTCTTAATGTCTATTTGCGTATATCTACATATAATTGCAATCGTAATTAATTTAAAGGATGAAAAAGGTATAGGAGCATTAATGATTCGAGGATCTATAATATTTTTAATTGGATACATTGGATGGAATATCGATTATCATTTTTGTACCGGGATGAATAAAATATTGAATTCACAATTACATGCTTGGTGGTGAGTTAACAACAATCTTTGCCCAATAATACTGATACCATTTTGAATAATCATTCTATTTTCCATATTAGGCACGTGACAGCGTCATATTCATGTTACTCTTTACTTTTAATCGCGATATTTGACCGGTCAAAAATGCTTGGAAAAAATCCAAAAATTAAATGGGTGTGTATTATTTTACCGTACGTGGGATTATCGGATGGATCAGAGCAATATCTACCTTCAAAAGTCATGTCTTCAGCAGAAAGAGAATTGCTCATGCAAGAAGTCTCGGTTGAAGACTGATTTACAAAAATAATAAACAACGAAATTATAGAGATAATAATAGAGGATGATAATAGACATTTATTTTTGTTAACGTACATCAACATATTATATATACCCACACGAAATCATTAATCGAATAAAAATATAAGCTCGATATCATAAAATCCTTCTTTATTCTAATTTTTTTTTCTTTTGATTTGTAAAAATTTTAAAACTCATTCTCAATGTTTTTTCGTTATATATAAATCATTTTATAATTTTCTACAAAGCCTGAAGAGCGACTTCTCATAAAGATGGAATTTTAAATATCATAATACCCCAAATAAACAGAAAAAGCATATTGTATAAGTAGTTATCAAATAAATTTTTAAATCTTTTACAGGATCTGATCACTTGATAATTTTTATTAGATATGTAAATATTTTAAAGGGTGAGAGTAAAAATATCACAAAGAATCTATGAGTATTTTTTTGTGGAATTTTCAGACTGGTGTGATACTGTTATCTATTATTATTTCTATTATTTACAATTACCGTATTTGCCCAAAAATAAGCAAGTAAAATTTCTAAATATTTTTTATCATAAGCTGAGATTAGTGCAAGTTTTGCTATAGATATTGAAGAAATTTTATACCCAAAAATAAGCAACTCATAATAAAAAACAGGTTGTTTATTTTTGGGCAAATACAGTAAAAGAACTTAGCGTCTCAATTTATAATAAAGAGTACGTGATATCATGGTAGTTGTAGTAATTAAATATATAATCTACAATTATCTCTGCCAACAGATAATGGATAGCAAGTGGGAAGATGCGAAATTGAAATTAAATGAACTTTTCTTCAACGAAGTGAACGTGGGATAATAAAAGCCCTTCTTCTAGATATTGATATAGAGAAACGTTTAGAATACTTTTACGGGGAAATGAAGAAATAAAGGCTGCTCTTACAACACTCGCTTCACTTACCTTTTGATATCCGCTATTTTTTCCTATCATATTAAATGCAAATTTGATTGGTTGATCCGGGCTCCGCAGGAGCCCGATCCCGTGATCAACCGATTACAGAACGGAAACATGTCATGTATAGAGGCACTAGAGGCCTATGTATGTCTGTATAGTAGTACCTAGGGGTTAGATAAATAAACGGGGGGTCCAACTCAAATGTTACACAGACTGATCAGTGATCGCCAGAACTGAAGCCATATGTAAATTACTATGTGTTACTATTAAAATTAAATATTACCCCATGTTTAAAGTGAAAGATCTGCCGATAATCAATATAATCTATGAAAAAAAATGATAAATCGGTAATGACGAAATGTGAAACTACACGAAAATATTTTTTTTTTTCGAAATATTCTGTCTATATTTTTTAAAATTTTGGATCGGCTGTTTGAAATACCTCAAAAACATATAAAAGTTTATTTACACACTTGAAAATAATACATAATAAAAGAAGAAAAAGCTATTTTAAAATGTTTTACGTAAAAATATTTAGTATATACTTGTTGAAATCTCGAAAAAAAAGGATATAATTTTAACTTACTATCATAAAAGAGCAAAAAACATATAAAATTAAGAACAAAGCAACCAGTGATCTAATTTTAATGAAAAAACTTCGCCTATATAGAGCTAGCATATACAACCTTGGCTTCTGGGATCGGCTGCTTTTCTATGTGTACGTGTTGAAAAAATAAAAAAAAAGTGAAATTTTAATATGAAAATTCGTTTGTGTAACCAATATATGAGAGTGACAGTTCTGGCGGTCAATGATTTCAATGATTAGCCTGTGTAACATTTGAGTTGGACCCCCCGTTTATTTATCTAACCCCTAGGTAGTACCCTAGCCATGGCAAAAAAAAAGTGGCAGGCACGTGACTTTTAGCCCGCATTACGGCGTTATGCACTAACACGTGAAAATAAACAGTGACGGATAAGGGGTGACGAATAAGTTTTTACATAAACAAAGTCCCTAAGATAAATATAAAAAGTGGAAACGCAGTGGGTGTGACGGTTGTGATGAATAAAATGCAGTCACGTGTCTGCCACTTTTTTTTTGCCATGACTAGGGTTTTATCTGTATAGTGATCAACGTACGCTACATGTTTCCTATATAATCCAGAACACCTGGCAAAATTTAACGCGAGTTCTCGGGACACGTGATATACTGTATTTGCAATATTTACTGCGCAATGATAGATCAAATGCTAGTTTTATCCTGGAAAATGATTAGCATCGTAGGGTAAACTAAATTAAAGAATGCTTTTTTTACAAAGATTTTGGTAAATAAAAAGTGTTTTAAATATTAGTGTCGTGTGTGAATAAAAGAAAAAAAAAAGAAGTAAAAATGACATGTTTTAAGAAGCCATCCAAACAATAAACCAATCCTACCTTATTATTACTTTGCGGAATATATGAGTTCGTTTGATTGTAAATGTCGATGATGCAAATAATGGTAAGTTAAATTAGTTTGATAGTTTCGTTCGATTTTTATTTATTTGTATGAGGCGGATAAAAGGGTTCACTAACCGGGATATCATCTCTTTATATAATTCGCAGGATCGGTTTTGGTCTCTCTTTAATTTTAACAATAAAAGAATTTAACGCTATCCATATGTGAAGGTCATCAAGGGCATACCGGTTTAATCCGCGCAAATCATTAATAGTTAACGTTAATTGCATATGTTATAACCTTCAGGAAAAAAAGGACTGATACGGGTTTGAGTTCGTTGATGACAACTCTTAATAAGCGACTGTTGGAAATGGAAATTCAGAAGTAAATCTCTCGGCTATGTATCACTTAACGAATGAGAGGCATCTAATAGTTTCTTGCCTCGCAAATTTCTCCAGATACTCCGAATATATATCCGTAATATGTGCTTTCAATAAAACGATTTTAGAGTTAACTCTAGAAAGTACGTGGTCAATTGCTCTGGAAAAGTACATAGACGCAGTACTGGAAACAGTTGAAGTTTCGAATGAAATTTCCGGTTATATTGCGAGAATGTCCTTCTCGATTTGTAAGTAGGTGTTAATATCTGATATTGTTAATTAAAATAAACATTGACTTCTTTTTTAGTTATCACCTTGTAGACATAAACTCTATAATGAACCGAAACATAAGCGAGCGGAAATTTATTACATAATTATTAAATAATGTTATAATACTATAATTTGCCAAGTAATATTGTAATACCACACAGGTAAAAAATTAGAGAAATTAAAAGTTTTATTTCTATATAATAGTAATACAAATTTCTAATAAATAATTAAAATACTAATATAAATTCTAGCTCTTTTCTATTATGAATTTGGATTACACAAATGACAATTTCCACCATCCAATTTACTTAAATTTTTTAATAATTCTTTTTCACGTAAATTCATACTTACCAGATCAGTTCCAGATACTTTCTTTCCTTTAACATAAACAGATTTAAGATTCCTTTCATCACCAAGAAATATAAATTTTTCAAAAATTCTTTCAGTATCTTCTAAATCATCAAAAATATCTAAGGGAGATTGACAAGCATCAGGATCAATTAATAAAGCATCAAATTCTTTACCAATTAAAAAATTTCCGATAACCTTATCAAGATTGACCAATTCAGCACCTCCCATTGTAGCTAAATAAGTTAATTCAGGTAAAGTAAGGTGCGGAAAAGATTTATTCAAAGGTTTATCATCAACTTTTGAAGAAGCCATAAATACAACGCGACTTGCTATGTTTGCATTTCTTATAGCATTTAAAATAGATTTTGAATAGCCGCCACTTAAATCTGTACCCAAACCAACTTTAATACCTTCATCTAATAATTGTCTAACGTTACATACACCTGAACATATAGCAAAATTTGAAGTAGGACAATGTGATATACCAATATTACGTTCTTTAATTAATTTAAGTTCTTTTGACGATAAGTGTATTCCATGAGCCATAATCGTTTTTTCATTTAATAATCCATGATGATCATATACTGTTGTATAATCTGGTAGATGTGGAAATATTTCTGAAATAAAATTTATTTCTCCTATATTTTCTGATAAATGTGATTGAATTGGCATATTATATTTTTTTGCTAATAATCCAAGTGAATTCATAAGTTGTGATGTACATGTGATTGCAAATCTAGGTGTAATTATTGGATAAACGAGTCTCGATCCATTTTCTCTTCCTTCATCTTTTTCTAAATTTAACACATATTTTATAAATTCTTCAGTTGATTTAACACTATTGTCTAATGACTCAATATAATTCTCCGGTGAATTACAATCCATATTAACTTTTCCAATAAACCCTCTCTGTCCTTTTTCTTTTACTAATCTGGCTAAATATTTACTTGATTCAAGATGAATTGTTGTAAAGTAAACAGCTGTTGTCGTTCCACTGCGCAATAAATTATTTACTACTATTGGATAAACTTTCTCAGCAAACGATAATGATGAGTATGACTGTTCAAGCGGAAATGTATATTTTTTCAACCAATCAAGTAGTGGTAAATCCATACCAGTTCCTGCATTTGGATATTGTGATGCATGTGTATGAGTATCAATAAATCCAGGCATAAGAAATTGTCTTTTACTCAATCTAATAACCTCTTGTTCAGGAAATTCCCATTGAGAAATAATATGATTCAAAGTTATTTCGTCTAAAACATTTTTTTCTAAGAAAGCTATCTTTCCAGAAATATCTACTCCTAATAAAGTATTTTGTAGGATTTCAAGATTGGCAAGAGATAATGAATGAATTAATGTTCCATAAAAGACTTTGGAAATTTTATTTGGCATTTTAGTTTTCTTTTTTTAAAAAAGAAAAAAAAAAAACATTAAAATCAACAACAAGGTTATTACCCCTTTTTACCGGTTGAGTGTTTCGACCTATGAAAATCTGTCATCTGATTATTGTTACATCTGTCTGACGGATCGAAAAACTTAAAATTGCAATTTACGAAAATTTTTTTCTTTCTTACTTTATCATAATACCAAGAGTCCTTAACATGAATAACAACCTAATGTAGAATTCTGTTGACCAAATATTCCGTAGTGAACTCAAAAAACCTTGGATAAGAATCAAGACTAGATGAGTGTTAGACGTTGGAGACAGCGGGAGGTTCAATTTTGTTTCACTTAACTTTCTTTTCTTTTTAGGGATGGATGAACGGTTCAGATTGATGGATTCAAGAAGAGGTGGTAGGTGCTGATATTATATATATAGTCTTGAATAAAAATCAACAAAACCAGGTGGGTGCTAGACGGGTTAGCTATAATTTGAAAAATATTTCATTTACAAAAAAGAGCTAAAATAATAATAAACAAAATTGTATTGATGTATGAATTTGCGTCACCTTGTTTTATATAATTGATTGTATAGATGGGCATATAACATGTTATCTAACATATACAACATTTTATGTAACAAATTTAATTCGTAATCCGCATAAAAAGTAGAGATTTTAACTATTAAAAATTGGGGCAACTTTGTAATTTTTTCCTTTATAGACAAGTATGTATTTCTTAAATATAATTTCAAATTTAAAGCTAAATATATATAAATACATTAGTTGGCTATATTTACTTTAAAGTTTGTTGCCTTTTCTAAAGAAATAAAAAAAATGTTTTATATGTGGTAAAGTTTTTGTACGACACTCAGATTCTGTGTAACAATCACAATTTCTGTGTAACCATATATAGAATGATCTTACCACACCACCTCGTAAAGATGTGATGCCTAATCGTCACCGTACACGTGACGTTCGCGCTCGCGTTGTTTATATTTATCTCAGCGACTTAGAAATGTTTTGTAGTCTGATCTCTATTAGTCACCTGCATAATATGTCACCTGTGTTACCATAAACATATAGCCGAGGGTGGTGTGGTAAGATGATCCCCATATATATGACTTCTAACTTACCACATCATTAAATGATATTATACAAAGTTCAAAAAGTAAAATTTACTCTATACTAATGTAGAAATTGGTGTTAAACCAACTTTTGGTAAAGAAAATTCATGCAAAGATCTGTTTTATAATTTTATACTTTCCCGAATATTATTAATTAAATTCTTTACTTTTAGACAGATTATGAATTAATATAAAATATAACATTATAACATATATAACAAAAATTAATTTAAATTAGCCAGACAAGTAATATTTAATTTTTGGCCACTATCACATAACGTTATACAATTTACCAAAAAAGGGTAGGCTAGAGCAGGGGTAACACCTGGTGGCACTTGCCATTACCATAAAGGATCTTACAAGTTTTTAACCATAGCAAAAAGATTTCCTGTAGAGCCACTCAAAGAATCCCGAGAAATTCTAAGTGGTGCATTATGCCTGGCAGCTTTAAAATTTTCTGTGTCAGCTCAGGAAATCTTAGCGTCACTTTACACTCCTGCTATAGTCAGCATAGTGGACATCTTTACTTTATCACAATTTTGTCGATCATTTGTCAATCATTTATTCAATTTTATCACTTCGTTATAATTACTTTTGTTGAAAATCCTACATAATAATAATTTTACAGACAATTTAACATTCATTTAAATTTACTGCATATTAAATTTATCAAAAAAAATTCTTTAAACAGTTAATAAAGTTTTACAAATTTTGTCTATATGTATATTTTAATAATATTCATAAACATTTGTTCAATGATAACTTTTTGATTACCTAAAATTCTACATGATTATTTTGGCTATTGATTCTTGAATACCTAAATAATATATTTTGAAAATTTCAAGTTTCGCCCGTAAATCTGTAGTTTCGCCTGAAGCTCCAAAGTCAAATTAACAGATGATCGGCAAATATAGGCAAATATCAAATTATTGAAAATTTCAGTTTAAGGTTAACTTTAACAATATAATTTTTTTTATTTTTCATAAATTATACTACTAAAAAGACATTAGGCCAAGTAAATAAATTTATTCGTTTCTCATGACCGGACGGGTCATGTAAATGTTACGAAAAAATAAAAAAATTTATTTTATTTGGTCATGTGATTTTGGTTTTGACCAATCATAATCATAAAAAAATAATTTTTTTTTCCATCCGGTGACCTGGGCAAAAAATTTATTAAATCAACCAATCATCATCTAGGAATCGGCTAAATTTTTTTTGAAAATAAATTTTTTTTCCGGGCGGCCGGGTCAAATTTAGCAATTTTTTTTCATGAGAAACGAATAATTTTATTTCTTTAGCCTTAGTATAGTTTGGCTAAGAATTTTATGGCTTTAACCATAGCTTCAAAATTAATGTGACATGATATCAATGAATGATCGGCAAAGTGATAAAAACATGTTCGCTATGCTGCTATAGTCTATCCCAAAAAAGGATATTTTACCACCTAATAAAAATTGAAAATAAAATATTATATAATATTACATGAAATCTAAAAAGGAAATATTTATGCTAATTACAGTTCTGAATAATTTTTCAGTTTAAAAATATTTTTTTATTAAAAAATTTTTTGAAAAAACTTTATATAAAATTTTAAAACTTTTGCAAATATCTATATACTCCTACATAATAAGTTTAAGATCACCTTATTTTTGTTTATATTAATAAAGTTTTATTCTTATTTATATAATTTATTTTTTTTAAAAAAAATTTTGTATTATAATTTTTTAAATAAACATAAAAAATTATCATATTTGCATTTATAAATCATGTAAAATAAAGTTTTTTTTTAATAGAAAAATTTTAATTCTGCAGTTATAGTAAAATGAATACAAAATTTTAATAGTTTAGCTAACAATAAAATTATATTTCAAATTTCATAAAAATTGAGTCAGTAGTTATTAAGAAATTAATAATTAAGGATTGATAATTTATATATGAAAATCATTATTTATTAGATTTTATATATAAATTGTCAATTCTTAATTATTATTTTCTCAATAACTACTAATTCAATCTTTACAAAATTTGAAATATAATCTTATTTTTACCTAACTATTTAAATTTACTTATATTTTGTTATAATCATTCTGGTTAAAAGGTTAAAAATTTGTTATTAAAAAAAAAAATCTTGTATTATATAATTTATAAAGATTAATATAATATTTTTTATATTTATTTAAGAAATTACAAAAAAAAAACTTATATAAATAAGAATAAAACTTTATTAATATAAACAAAAATAAGGTGGTCTTAAACTTATTACGCAGGAATATGTATTTTTGAGAATTATTTAAAGCAAAACAAATCACATAATTCAATATAATATGAGTAAACTAATTTTTTATAAATTAAAATTAATATAAACTTGAAAATCATAAAATAAGCATATCTTATTAATTTACTATACAAATTTATTTAAAAAAAAAGTAGATTTTGAATACTATTTTTAACTTTATATATAAGCAAAAGATTTTTGCCAATTATATTTAAAAATAAATAAATAAAAATAAAAGTCAAATAAATCAAAAATAGCATTCAAAACCTTATTTTATGCTTCAAGTAAACTTGCAAAGCTGACTAAAATATATTTTAACATGTATATTTAAAAAATTATATATATATGGTAAAAAGTTTTATTTAGAAAATGAATTTTTTTCTAGTTATGATTTGCTCCTACTTTAAATATTCTTCATTTTAATAAACATAAAATAAATAATATTATTAGTTATAAGATTCATTTACATATAAAATAAATTTATAATTGAAAATTTTTAAAAATTTTATTATATATAAATAAATTACATCTAAAAAAAAAAATGTTACATAAAGTTATTATAATTTTTTCTTTTTTAAATTAATAAAATTGCTGGTAAAATTACTAGTAAATTTGAAATTTTTTCTAAAAACCTCCATAAAAATAAGCAAGATCTTGCTTTAGATATTCTAGTACCTGTCTCTTATACACATCTAGATGTGTATAAGAGACAGGCATTTGATAGTTTATTAAATAGCAAAAAGAATCAGAAAAATACAAATTGTATAGCCTATTCTAACTATTTAATATTATTAACTACCAAACCACTCGTCATGCTGTAGAGCATCCCACGTATGCACTGTCAGGTGAAATTTTTGCTCAGAGGCTATAGTTCATTTAAAAATGGCCATTCTTAGCATAAATGCCCTTCTTTTTACGCAAGGCATTCACAGGACCCACCTAAAAACCTCTATTAAAAGTTAAGTAGGATCTTTTAGTTATTATATTTTAGTTAATTTTTATATTAAATAATATATTTATAAGTGTATATATTAATTTATAATTATAAAATTTTTAATTATATTTATTTTTTCAGAAACTTTATAGTAGTATTAAATTTTAAACTTGTCTAATTAGTTTTTTTAATTGAATAATTTTAAACTATCTAAACCAGTTTTAGATATAATTTTAGATAGTTTAAAACTGTTTAAGAGTTCTAATATTCATCAACTGAAACTAAAAATAAAATAAAAATATAATGTTAAAATGTTAAAAAAGTAAAAAGTAAATTTATTTTTCACTTTAGGTAAGATTTGATATTTCTTATCTTCAAGTTATAAATTATCAAAAATGTCAAAAATGGTATTTATAATTTTTCTTAAAGTATTAAATAAATTTGTAAAGCAGTTAAAATTACCTTTAAATTATAATTTTTAAAGATTATATAGGACCCCGGATATCTCCAAAACAGGTCATAAGTCACACTTTCGGCAGATTGGCCCATTTTTCAGGGGCTCAAAAAATCGTTTTTTGTAAATATCTCGGCATCCAGTGGTCCAATTTTGATGAACTTTTTTGGCCAAAAGTCCATTATGACCTTTATATTAGATATCCGGGGTCCTGATTATATAAATTTATATTAAGTTTTATTTTTAAAAAAAATTTTTTTTGTATTTCATTTTTAAAAATAATTGGCAAATGATCAATATGACATCATTTTTATATATTAAATTTAAGGGAATGAAAAATCACTTATATGAGAAATAAATTTTTTCAAAAGTAAAAAAAAATGTGAAACTTAGCATTATTTGTTATTCAATAATCATACATAAATGAATTAATATTTATTAGATTCATTTTACTGAGATATGTTGAATGGTAGTATTTAATAAAGATCATATCTCTAGTATTAATAGATAGTGTTCTTGAACCATCTATAATCCAGATTAAATTGACCTATTCAGATCTTTAATAATACCTAGAACCTTATTTAATTTTAAATCAAGTATCGATTTAACTTATATTTTAGTGTTTTTATATTCTGTAAAATTACTATGTTTGATTAAAATAAATACTGTAAAAGTATTTTTAAACCATTTTGCAGGTAAATTTGCTTACAATTTCTAAATTAGAATAAATGATGCTATAAAAAATTCTTTAATTTGACCAAATTATCACATAATTTGTAGCCAATTGATCTCATTCTGGCCATAAATTGTATGAAATATGGGATTAATCATTAAAATTGATGAGAAATTAGTCTGCAAAAATAGTATCAGAATTTTTATATAATAAAATCTAAACTTATCATATTTTTTCTCTATTTAAATATTTATTATAAACAAAATAAAGATAAAAAAATTAATTTTTATGAATATATATATATAATTAAAATTTTCATTAAGGTTCTATATAAAGTTAAAATCCTACTTTTAAACATTAAAAATCATATTAACAAAAGTTGTTTCTCATACCAAATTCTACATATTATATTAAGCTTTTATATAGCTACAATTAATTATAATGAAATCATCAAAGTTAAGTGCAAAGTTTTTTAAAACTTTGTGATTATCTTAAAATACAACTTTTGACCAATGGGTAATTTTCGATTTTCTAATATATAATTAATAAATGATAATAATTGCTGCACAATATATTTTAAACTATTTTGGAAAAAATTTTATTAAAATTGTTTATTTTTTATAAAATTAGATGAGAGTTGAAATTTTGGTAAAATTGTGGGCAAATTTGCCTGCAATTGCTTATGGTTTAAGGGATAGTCTTTTTTTTAATTTTGAAATTTAAAAAGTAAAAGTTATTGACATTTAAAGTGGGAAATAAATTAAAAGGCTATCATTTCAAAATTTAGGTAAAAAAAGGTAAAGCTGAATAATTTACTATATATTTATGTTAAAAAAATATTTTTTATTTCATCAAAATTTACATCAAGAATCTTCCTGGTACGTCTTTCATGTATTTCAACTCTTCCGCTTTCTAAAAATCTCTTCCCTAATATCATCATCCATGGATAACCAACTAATTCTGAATCTTTTATACGGTAACCTAAAGACAAATTTGTTCTATCGTCAATAAGCACTTCACCGTTCAATTCATGACTGATTGAAGTTAATAAATCGAATAAATTCCGTGTTGCTTGTTGTATTAGTGGTTCATCTGAATTTGGGATAATACAAACTCTATAAGGTGCAACAGATGATGGCCAGATTATGCCATGCTCATCATATGAGGATTCAATAATCGCAGCAAGCATTCTTGAAATCCCAATACCATAACAACCCATTTGAATCGGCCTAAGTTCTCCCATATTTTGAGGAGTTTCAGGTGCAAATGTAGCTTTTAAAGGTTCTGAATATTTCGTACCTAAGAGAAAAGTGTGACCAACTTCAATAGCATTATGACCAATAAGAGGATTATTATGTGAGACCGAAGACATGGAACATATAGGACATCCATCACCTGGAGAGGTATTATGAAAGTCGCCATGATGCATAGTGATAATATGTTTATTACTTTGTATTAATTTGTATATATTTTCATCAAACAGTTTGTTAGACAAAAATAATTCTAAATCGGGTAAATTTGTTTGAAAGGTAATGTCGATATAAATATCAATTTCATTGAAATTATTATTAATTTGAATATCTTTAATATCATTCACTATTTGAATATCTTCAAAAGAATTCTCACTCGCAGCGGCTTTCAATTTAAATACGTTTAGAACATAGCCGGATCCTAATATGCAGATTATGAGCCTATTATTTTTGCTAATTCCAAAGTTAAATATTGGTTTCTTATTAACTCCATTTCCTGCTTGTTTTGTTAAGGGAAGAGAACCATATGCTCTCTCTTCATTCGCTGAATATCCACAATTTGAACAAGTTAATATCATATCTTCTCCAACTATATAGTTAAAAAAATATAATTAGAAATTTGATTTAGTAAGACAGTATTTTAAATAATTTAAAAATTATTTTTCACCTTGAGATAAAAAATGAAATTCGTGTGATTTAGTCCCTCCAATATTTCCTGAATCTGCATCTGCCTAGAAAATTCAAAAGGCATTCTCGTGATTCCTAATATAATAAATGGCTAATTAAGATATTTAAAGTAAACTTACAATAACAAAAGGAACTCCAATCTTATTAAAAATATTTTTATATGCAATCAAGACTTCCTCGTATGTTCTTAGGGCTGCTTCTTCGCTAGTGTCAAATGTATATAAATCTTTCATAATAAATTCCCGTCCGCGAAGTAAGCCATAACGAGGACGCATTTCATCTCGATATTTTTTACCTATATAAAATAATAAATTTGTAAATTTTACTAGTTAACCATTAAAAAAATAATCAAATATATTACCTATTTGGTATAATCGTAATGGAAGTTGTCTGTATGACGCAATTTCGTGTCCGACTAGTTGAGTAATTTCTTCTTCATGTGTTGGGGCGAGGCAATATTCCGACCCTTTCCTATCTTTGAGACGAAATAGCTATCAAAAGTTGTTTAATATGAAGAGAAATTAATTCATAAAAAGCAAATTATAGTGACTTGTCAAGTATACAAATATCAATACCAAACCTCGCTACCAGCTGACTTCCAACGTCCTGTCTGTTTCCAAGTACTAGCGCTTAACAGGATAGAGAGAGATAATTTTTGTGCACCTGTTCAATGATTAATTTGTTAAAACCAGATAAATCTCAAGCATTGATTGACTTCAATTTACCAATACTTGTCATTTCAAAATCTATTATTCTTTCTATTTTATCAAGTGAACGTAAAGCTAGTGGTAAGAGCGAATACATTCCTGAAGAGGACTATCAAAATAGTATATCATATATCATATAAATCAAAAATAAAATGCTACTTAAGACTAAAAACATACCCGTCTTATCAACCCAGCGCGAATCATGAGACGGTAACTCTCACAAATAATATTTTCCTCTTGCTCATGTTTCTGTTTACTCTTTATATTTGATACGTTTTTTGTGGTTGGAAGAAATATTTTTGACAAACATGTTCTGTTGCTATAACTTGCCTAAAAAAACGTTTGTCCTAGTAGAAATTTATAAATAAAATAAATTATATTTTCCCTATAAATAATACTAACCGAGGTAAAATATCGCTTCTGTATAATTAATTGTGCCAACTGTTTATATAAACAAAACGACCGTGTTTTGAACATTTTTACTGAAAAAAAATTTTCGCGATGGGTAGAAACTAGAAAATCATCCGGATTAATTTTTAATTTTAATTTCGCTAGAACTACAAGTTTGGCCAGAATTAGTACATCGTTAATTTTGGCCAAAATGATCGACATTCCGATCACGTTCATGAGTATTTCTTCTAAATGGCTATCTTTTCTTGAAATTCATTAAATCATAGTATCCGGCTTAACCATGACTTCTAGTAATAATAACAAACCATTAATTTTTATACATATCAACTTTTCTATCACCCCACGAAAAATTTTCTGGGAAAAACTCTCATTTTTCTAACAAAAAAACTCCGACAATCTCTAATGAGAACTCCTTAGAGTACACTTTAGAGCAATCATATTCAAGTGAAGCACTAATTTGCAAAACTTGAATTTAGTCAATTGAAAACAAGAAATAATGGAGGAGGCGGAAAGTAGTACAAAGGGAAATTTTCTAAGTAGTTCAATGAGCTAGAATAATATGGAAAGGTTAAAAAATTTACTTGAATTAGAAAATTTGAAACGTATAAATAAAAAATTACATAAATTTAGAAATATTTCAATAGTAAATTTAGAAAACGATTATCATTCTACACTGTAAGTAAAGATGCTAATTTATTGGCGATGAATACAAAAATATGAATTGTTTGCACAATCTAGCATTTTGATGTGGTTGTCTAACCGTATTGAACTTCGGTAGTTATAACAATATCGATTCCATAAACTCTCCATATGATATGCTCTACTATCTGCGATAAAAAATGTGAATAAAATTCACAATTTTTTGATTTTGATCTCCGGATATATTTATTCTAGACTAAATCAACAAAACGGTCCATCAGATAAATTGTCGTTATTTCAAATTAACTATCCTCGAATGTTCTCATCATGTGTCCCATAGAGATCTTCTTAAACTCTTGCGAAATATTTGCGAACTTGCCCTTCCATTTGACTAATGTTACCATAGCGTAGGTGATCTTCCGTTGAAATTGTTTCTCGTGCTTATCATATATAGCTTTTTTATATAACATGAAGATGTTCCAAGTTGTATATCGACGATATTTTATTTTTTCATGACACCTCTATCCTCTTCACATGTAATAACCTGATTGGGAGGAACGTTTAAAACCATCTTGTTAGAGATAATGGCTAAAGAGATGTTTCCATCGTATTTTGATCATAGACTTCATAGACTTAAGTTCGCCAACGCTCCACGGAAATTTCAATCAAGTACGTATCAGAAATTATGCAGTTGAGAGTAATAACTAGTTACAAGCATTTTTGTTACTTTTACATTAATGGAGACCAACGTAAACAAAAAGAAAGCACTAACCTTCGATTTTAACAACGTGGAGATTAGATTTGGGAGGATTTTCTTTCCAAATGTCTTTGATTCCAAAAATATGACAATATTTTGTTGCTATCGGAAAGATCAAAACAGGAAATTGTATTATTGTTTCCTATACAGGTATTTGTACGCCATAATCTGAGATCACTTTGCTCTAACGGTTTCGAAGTAATCTTTTTCAGCTTTAATACGTCTTATGAGTCCGCCAATTGCGCCAATTGTTTCGTTTTCCTTAATTTTGATAGAGATTATGTTTCTAAATGGCTTCTCAGAACCAGACAATTATTGTCAACAGAGCGCATTTTTCTATGTTAGAAATAACACATAAACCCGGTACTTATATTTTTATTCTCTCTGCCACAGAACAACATATTATCTAAATACGCGTATTTGTTTGTTATAATAAATTTACTTCGTAGGCGAAGCTTAGAGGCTACTTGTTATACGAATACTTGGGGCAATTCCGAAGATGCTTGTTCAGGTAATCATTTGTTGTAGATTTCGTTTTACATGAAAACCAAGATTAGTAAGCAATTATTCCATTTATTATAACTTCGACTAATTCTCACGTGGAAAACTAACAGACTAATAGACTAGAAGTGTAATACAATTACTATATTTACATTGGTGGTTGGTACGCCTTCCCTAATCTATTTTGTACAATACGGTAATAATGTTTAGACTTTTTATCAAATATACTATCACTTATGGATCTGTTTCACATGGCAATAAATGTGACACAATGTATAATTTATTTTTTCATTTTTTTATTACATTATCGCATTGTGAATATTTTTCATTTTTTATTAATAATATTACATATTAGATATCACTTCAAGAAGTATTAGAAGTATACAAGCAGTAAGCAAAAATACATTGTATTTAGTAAATTTTTTGGTTTTTTTTGCATTTTTTTGGTAAACTTGAAATATTATTTACGCCTGCAGATTATGATATTTCATAATCATTATTATTTGTTCAGAATACTATAGATCAAATTTAGACATCACATTTTGATCAAAACACAATACAGAAATCAGTTCAATGTTTCTTTTTTGAGTTCTTTTTTTTCGAATTCTTTTTCTTCTTTGCAACAGGGTGAACATCCGTCGTTTTTGTGGCAGGTTCTGGCAAATCTAGGAGAAAAAAAAACAATTATAAAAATTAAGAAAAAAAAAGGAATAAACATAATCTTGACATACCATCTGTAGTGTCTTCAAATTCTGTAATAGTTCCATCATACTCTAAACCCCATATTACACTTCTAGTTGAAGATCCCTTTGACATCACACTCCAATAATCTCCAAGCGGCCATAAAACAGCCATCATGTTTCCCCATTCGAACAAACGACCGTAGCAGTCTAAAAAAAGCATTCCATTGTAACATTCCCCGATGAGAATAACATGATCAAAACCATACGCTTTAATATCTTCCAAATAAGGTTTATAAACAGGATTTCTATTTTTGACATAATGGCCAAGAGATTCTGCCGCATGCTTACGATCTAATTTATTTGCTATCATCTCGACTTCTAAGAACGGATTTTTCGGAATTTTGCAATCTTTTTGAGTTACATCATTTTTTTCCCCCATCGACACATGGGACATGGGTTCATAAAAAATTGTCCTTTATATTGTACGTTTGGGACCACAAAATGGCATGGTGTTTTTGGCTTTTCTTCCGTTCGTGCATTGCCTGTAAAGGCGCCCACTCTGCACAATTCCCCCAAGGATAATCGCAAGTTTTTAATTCTTTCTCTGTTAGGACAATATTCTTGCGACACCATAGCAATATCGGAATATTTGCCGCTCTCGATTTCGCTATTAATTGGTTGTTCCTGTACACCATTCCTTTCGTTATTGTTCTTGTCGCTATTCCACAGCGGACTGATGTCCCGAACATAAATTTCACGATCTTTCCTTCTTTCATTGATGCCATTACATTTACTGTTGTTGGGCGACCCAACGCATTCGGTTCCATCTCCGTAATTTTGTCTGCCAAGGTAATTTGCATTCTGATAAGAAAATGTTTCTGGTCTTGAAGCTCCATTTCTTTGATTAACTCCATGCTCATTACGTAAATCGTCCAGAGTAGGGCTACTACGTCCCATATAGTTATTATCGGAATTGGCCGACAGTGGGGTGGTTCTACCAACTTCCCCTGGACACCATACGGAAGATAAGTTCGAAGATTCCTACATAAAAAATTTTTCGTTGGCTATTCCTATCATTTCGAAATAGTAATATATATATATATTATAAATAAACTTTCTCGCACATTTTCCTTTAATGTCATTTTTTTAATGTCATCTAACCAGGACCAAGCTTACAAAAAGTGGCAAGATAGAAATTTACTTGTTTTACTTTTGGAAAACAAAAGAAATCTCATACAAGAACAGAGTCAGGGTGAGTCACAAATTGACAATGCTTAGGACTTACTCTAACACGTGATATATTACAGTAATCATATTATATTACTTATATATTACATCATTTTTTTGCTTCCCATTTGATTAATTAGCGTAGTCCTACTTTATCAAATAGTTCTGACCGAAGAGTGAGGTCCCGTACGGGATGAAGGGCGGAGTTCTATACACGCATATTAGTTTTTAGTCTCTTCTTCGAATTGCTATGATACCTACTTTTATTTGTAATAGTCTCTACTACTCTTTTAGTAATAAAATAAAAATAAATAAAATAAATCATTTTTTTGCTTGAGCTACAAGAACAGAGTCAGGATGAGTCACAAATTGACAATGTATGGCAATATGAATCTTGACCCCACTGCACATTATCGATCACATATGTTTTACAATACCATGAATAGGATCGACAACGTGGTCAAGTTTTACGTACGTGAACTCCGTGACGGGTCAAGATTCATATATTTGCGGTATTAATGGGTCAGAACGCTAATTATTATTATTATTATTTTTAATGCAGGATTTAAATATATTTATAGTATCCCAAATACATAAGACACTTAGAGCCGTCCGTGCAAATCACGTGACAACCCTATAACATTTTTTAGCACTAAAAGACACATTACAAAAATTTTAAAATAAATACTAAACCTGTCCTATAGCCAAACTTGACCTAACTAATGTTAAACTATTTGAATAGAAAAACTATCTAGGATCCACTAATGTAAAGAATACTAGAATTAAAACTTCGTCATCTCTCGACGTTGTTTAAGAACCGGTCAATCTCTACGTAAATCCTATTTTTATGTTATCTATTCTAAAATTAAAAATTAGTACATGAAAGAAAGATAAAAGGAAAGACTAAATCAAAGTTTACACGGGGTGTTTGAACACGGGTCATGTGAAATATAATGACACCAATGTCACACCCTTTACTTTTTCTATGTAATATAATGTATTTTTGACTGCTCTGCAAATTTACTTAAGGCATCAATGGGGGTTTTGAATGCCGTTTTTGACTTATATATGAAAAACTGTCTTTGCCGATCATTTCCTAAATTTTTTAAGAGTGATCGGCAAAATCAATTATTCATAGGTAAAGTCAAAACTGACATTCAAAAGCACCTTTGATGCCTTAGGTAAACTTGTAGAGCAGGAAAAAATCCATTTATCTACTAATTTTGAAGTTTATGCTATTAGCCAAAATGGCAATAATCACATGACCCGGGTTCAAACACCCCGTGTACAAATAGAAATTGCCAATTTAAATTTATATTTTGGTATCGGAATATTTTTTGACGTGAAATCACGTGACTTCGATCAGAACGCTAATTATATATCCTATACATAAATCATAACGGAGTTGATGCTAAGGTTTATCGGTTATTCTTTAATGGGAAAAAATATCTAATAGGAAATATGATGGCAATATTGACGCTGTTCCAAAGTTATAAAACGAAAAATTATTATATGAAATAATAAATAGGAGGATTTTAGGCGGAACTGAATTATTCCTATGGATGATTAGTTTTAACAGTATGTTCATTCATTTAGTGAAAATGCAAAAAAGAAAATTTTTTTCTATATTATGTATTAAATTACGAAATCTTTTAATTATCTTTAAATTTATTTTCTAAGGAATAATTTATGCAAAAAGCCTTGCATTCGTATAATCGTATTCACGTCACTAACAAAATGAACAAGAGAAGGTCGATAAGGAACTGAAGATCATAAAAGACATCTAAAAATGTGAAAAAAATCCTCGTTATTGATTTAGTAAATTACCAAATTAGAACTTTATGTAATATAAGTGTTAGCAACTACCTTGAATATTATCAATGGTAAATTGGTAGAAAATTAGATTGATTTATTACAAGCAGATTGAAGTCTCAATTATGCTAATTTAGATTTTAAAGAATTTTGTAAATAAATATTTTATTGATTTGATTTAAATTACAAAAAAATTTTTTTTTATGGACAAGAAAGAAAAATTAATTAAAAAAATTGTGTATATATATATACATATATATATATATATATATTAAAAATATACTAACACATAATTCCATGCTTTAATTATATTGGTACTTTCTCCATCATATTTTTCTTATCTACGATTACCACCCATACCAGGCATGCCACCAAGACCCATTTGTTTCATCATGTTCTGCATTTGACTTAGATCTGGCATACCACCTAATCCACCACCTAATCCACCACCACCCATTCCTCCCATCTATATTATAAAATAATAAAATAATAATATTAGTAATTTTTCCAAAATTTAGTTAAACCTCTTAATCTCTTTTTATTGTAATACTCACCATTTGTCTCATCATATCATTCATATTCATACCACGAGGCATCATTCTTTGCATTTGAGACATCATTTGCTGAGATGATTTTGAACCATCCATACCGGGAGCACCCATACCTTTAAATAAACCTTTATTGCCACCAAATTTTTTAACCATACCTTGAAAAGCTTTATGCTGTATTAATAATTCTTCAACTTCTCTTACGCTAGTACCACTACCACGTGCAACACGCTGAATCCTTTTTGGTTGAGTATGAAATAATTTACCATCACTATCCAATTCTGTTTCGTTCATACTATCCATTATAGTCATTAATCTTTTTATTCTTTGTGCACCTAATTCGTCAGAACCCTCAAAATTCATTTCTGACATACCTGGCATCATTTGCATCATTTTTGATAGAGGACCTAATTGTGATATATTCTGAAATTGTTCATACATATCTCTTATAGTAAAAATACCTTGTTCCAAATTTTTAATTAAATTCTTATTTTGATCCAATTTCAAATCTTGTACTGTCTCCATTAAACCTGATATATCACCCATACCTAACATTTTTTGTATAAATCTTCTCGGTTCGAATCTTTCTAAATCATGTAAATGTTCACCAGTACCGATAAATATAATTGGACTGCGTGTGGCAGCTACAGCTGATATTGCGCCACCACCTTTTGCATGACCATCCATTTTTGTAATAATAATTGAACCAATTTCTGCTGCTTCATGAAATGCTTTTGCTTGTGATTCAGCAGCTTGACCAATTGTACCATCCATTACAAATATTGTATTATTTGGATTAACTACAGCTGATATTTGTTTCATTTCTTCAAATAATTCGAATTCTTGTTTATGTCTACCTGATGTATCAACTATAATTATTTCAAACCCTTCTTTTTTAAATTTCTCTACTCCTTCATGTGCTATCTGTACTGGATCCGTCTCTGTATAACTGGAAAGAAAATAAAGGTGGTTCTTGTTTTAGATTAGATGAAAAAATTAAAATTATGTTTTAAAATTATATTATACAATACCTTCCGAAATATGGTATTTTTGCTTTGGTGGCATTTTGTTTTAATTGATCAAAAGCACCAGCACGAAAAGTATCAGCACAAACTAAACAAACTTTCCAACCTTTACGTTGATAATGATATGCCAACTTGGTACAAGTGGTAGTTTTTCCACTACCTTGTAATCCAACAAACATAATTATATTTACTTTGCCTTTTTTGGGCTTATAAGGTTCAACACCGGGTTCAACTAGTTTACATAGTTCATCAAGAACAGCTTTTTGTATAAGTTTACGTTTATTTATACCGGCAGCAAGTTCTTGAATATTAACGGTATTTTTAACATTATTTCTAAGTGTACTAACTAAACGCACATTGACGTCAGCCGCTAATAAGGCAGCGCAAATCTCTTTTAGAAGGGCGTCAAGAACTTTTGCATCTATAACAGGTTCTTTATTAATTTGTGCTAAAGCTGAATTAATACGTCTTCCTAGATCTGCTAAAACCATGTTTGTGAAGATCTAGCGAAAAAAAAGTAACGATACTAAGTGTTACAGAAGTTTTAAATTAATGATGACATAGATCATCGTACATACTAAGTTGATAATCATTACATATATATACAACGGGTATAATTCTCGAACGAGAAAAAATTTACTCATATGTGAAAGAATTTATTAATCTATCTATTTATATCTATATATATATATATTTGGGTCTTCTCTAAGCACTTACGCCTCAAAAAATGGAAGACAAAATAATAATAAAAGATTTAGAAGTTCACAATATAATAGGAGTTGATTCTTGGGAAAGAGTAAAAAAGCAACCAGTAATAATAAATTTAATAATTTATACAGACATATCAAAAGCGGGAGATACGGACCATTTACCATATTCAATTGATTATAGTTCTATTACTAAAAGTATCACAAAATTCTCGGAGGAAAGTTCCTTTAAATCTATTGAAGCATTGGCGGATGCAATTGCAAAATTATGTATAACAGAATTCCATATATCAAAAGTTAATATTCGACTAGAGAAACCAAAAGCATTATTACATGCAAAATGTGCAGGGGTAGAAATAACACGCACCAAAGAGGATTACGACGAATTATCAAAATCACAGAGCGGTGGTAATGAATATGATGATAGAATATTTGTACAAGATTTAAGATTGAATGCTATTATAGGAATTAATCCATGGGAAAGAGAAGAGAAACAAAGCGTTATAGTTAATTTAACTATTTATCCGACATATAAGGTGGATTCTGGCAAAGATTATGTTATTAAACCACATAATTATAGAACAATAGTTAGAACTGTTTCAAAACATGTTGAAGAGTCAAAATATAAAACAGTTGAAGCATTTGCTACTTCTATTGCTCGTATTGCAATAACGGAATGTCATGTTAATAAAATTACAATAAAAGTGGAAAAACCAAGCGCTTTAATGTTTGCTGCTTCTGCAGGAGTAGAAATTATAAGAAGTCAAACATTTTTTAATAAAAATATTTCTTCTCCTCAAAATAGAAGTGCCAATAATAAAGATATTCCTGAAGGATACAATCATTTGGCTTATATTGGACTAGGATCAAATATGGGCAATTGTGTTGAAAATATTAATGAGGCATTAAGACTATTTGAACCAGAATGTAGAATACTAGATACTTCATTCTTGTATGAAACGTCTCCAATGTATGTAGTGGATCAACCAAATTTTATTAATGCTGCTTGTAAAATTGTAACCAATTTAGATCCTGAAGAATTATTAGTAAAATTAAAGAATATTGAATCAAATATGGGAAGAACTCAAACGATACGATATGGTCAAAGGCCAATTGATTTGGATATACTATTTTATGATGATATTGAATATGTTTCTTCTTCTCTCACTATTCCACATCAATTAATGAGTGAAAGAGAATTTGTATTAAGACCATTATGTGACATTGAAAAAGGATTTGAACATCCAAAATTATTTAGAACCTGTGGCCAATTACTTTCTCATTACTTGAAAAGTCCTTCTTATTCTCCTGATAATTTTGTAAATAGAATATTACCAATTAAAAATGACAAAATATTAAAATGGTCTACAAAAACTTTTATAATGGGTATAATTAACGTTACTCCTGATTCATTCTCTGATGGTGGATTATACATTAACGTTGATTCTGCTCTTTCTCACGCGTTGAAATTAGTTGAAGAAGGCGCTGATATATTAGATATAGGTGGTTGTTCTACCCGTCCTGATGCTGATGATGTTCCTATTGAAGAAGAAATTAATCGTGTATTACCCGTTATAAGAGCGATTCGTTCTTCTTCTAATAATACTCTTTCGAATATCCCTATATCAATAGATACTTTTCATTCTGAAGTAGCTGAGAAAGCCATCCAAAATGGTGCTAATATAATTAATGATATTTCTGGTGGTTTATTAGATGAAAAAATTTATTCTATTTCTGCTAAATATAATTTACCAATTATCCTTCAACATATGAGAGGTACTCCTAAAACCATGAATCAATTAACTGATTATAATGATCTTATATTAGATATATCTAATGAATTATATGAAAGGGTTAAAGCTGCAATCAATGCTGGTGTAAAGCGTTGGAATATTATAATTGATCCTGGTATTGGTTTTGCAAAAAAATTCGATCAAAATCTAGAAATATTAAAGAGATTAAAAGAATTTAATGGAAAAAATAGTTTGCTTGAAGGGTTTCCTAGTTTGATTGGTGCAAGTAGGAAAAATTTTATTGGTAAGGTTATTGATCAACCTATTCCTCAAAATAGAAATTGGGGTACTGCTGCTGCTTGTACTGCCGCTATTTCGGCTGATGTGGATATCCTTAGAGTACATGATGTTAAAGAAATGTTGGATGTGGTTAAAGTTGCTGATTCAATTTGGAGGGTAAATAAAAAAGAAGAAATTAAGTAAAGCCCCACTTTTAACCGTAAAATTGGAGTTTTTATAAATAAATAAAAAATTAATTAATTAAAAAATAATCGTTTTTAAAATCTGCTAAAATTGTAATTTTAAAGTTCAAGTAAATGAATTTTAATTAATATTTGAAAATACAGTATGAATAATGAAAATCTTTTACTACGCTAAAAACTTGTACGAATCTAATATTAATCTGACTAAAAATACTAAAATATTGGTCCATTCAGCTAACATAGATATTCATAAGCAGCATGATACCAAATATTTACCCACCTGTTAACGGGATCAATAGTCATATAACAAAAATTGTTACAATTAATATTATCATTTGTAATAGTAGTAGTAGAAGGGGGAAATAAACTATTATTACTTAAATTAATTATTTTATAAACAAAAGATTTAATTATTAGATCGCCGGTTTCTTCATTTTTTTGTACACTATAAAATTATATAATGTATATATGTAAAATAATAATGTTAATATTATTTACCAAAGTAACTTTCTAATGATTACGCACACATATATTATTATACATACCTTATTAAATCTTTATAAATTTTTTTCAATACATTTAAGTATTCTATAATTAAATCTTCAAATTGACAAACATCGCCACCTAAACAAATTGATTTAAATATTCTAAATATAAATTCATTTCGATCTTCTATACTGAATATATTATAATGTGGTGAATCAAATATTAATAATAGTTTTCTTAATTCATCTGTTATCATTATTGGTGTTGATATATTCTCTTCTAAATATATTGGAGATGTTTTAACTATCGCTCCACTCTCTCGTCTTACTATTCCTAATTGTAGTAATGAAGAAATAAATTTAGTATAAAATAAATAATTATTAGTATAAACACTTAATAATGAAAATTTACCTGCATCGTATAACCTATCAAAAAAATTTAATGTTGTAACGTTACAAGGTACTTTCTCATATACAATATCATGAATTTTTTCATTTAAATCATTCCAATTATTTTGATCAGATTGTACTTTAAATTCTTTTCTCACATTTTCTTCGTTAAAAAATTCCAAAAAAAAAAAATTTTCGTCTTTTTCATTATCAAAATATTCTTCATAAATAAATCTTTTTATATAACTATGTCGTTTCATTCCCCTAAGGTGGTAAAGTAAGTGATAAGGTATGGTAAAAAAGTAAATACATATATTGTCTTATTAGTCATATGTTTACATATACCATTTTTCTAATAAATCCTGTACATGTTTGCTATTGTATTCCAATTCCTTCGGCGAATTTACATGATATTTAAAACGAAATTTTAGTTCACTCATCGGAAAAATCATCAGAGATAATATTTAGTACACTACTTATACAGTAAAATACTTAAATCGGTCGATCTGCATATTTACTGTAGATCTGATAATCAGTAAAATCATATTATTATTTGTTATCTTTTTTATTATTTTATTATTATTACCATTAAATAAATACGTTTAAGAAATAATACATATAGTAAAATAAAAAAAATTCTATTATCATTATTATATCATTATAAATTATTTTCCCCATCCCTTAAAACTTCTTCAATTGTATATCGAATTTTGTTACTTGATAATTTAAGTTGTAATATGTCCCCTATCTCATTACATATTTTTAATATTTCATCAATATCTTCTTTTGTATGTGCTGCTGATATACAAAATCTTGCTCTTGATGATATCATTGGTGTAGCTGGATATGCAACAACTACAACTGCTAAATTTCTCTTTAGACATTCTCTAGAAAATGCCCTATAGAAAATAATATTATTAAGACAATTTTATTAATTAAATATATATTCTCAAAAGAAAAAAAAACATCATCTATACTTACGGAATTTTTGCAGGATTAAATAATAAAAGAGGTATAATGGGTGAATCACGGTCGCCATAAACAATAAACCCTAATCTTCTCAAATTAGTACTTAAATATCTTGAGTTAAATGCTAATCTTTCTAATCTTTCTTGTCCTTCATTCGTTCCATCTTCTCCCATTATAATAGACATTGAAGTATATATCTGTTGAAGTACAATTGGAGTCATTGATTCTGCATATATAGTAGCATGATTTGTAAGTCGTAAATGATTGATGATATTTTTGTCTGCTGCTATATATCCTCCTGCTGCTCCAAATGATTTTGTAAGCGTTCCCATTAATATATCAACTTCATTAGGATCTATTCCATAATAATCACACACTCCCCTTCCATGTGGTCCTAGTGCTCCAATGCTATGCGCTTCATCCACGTATAAATAAAACTTTTAAAAAAGAGAAGAATGTGAGACCAATAGAAAAAATTTCTTTCTTTTATATAAGAAGGTTAAATATTTACCTTATATTTCTTTTTTAATTCGATGATTTTTGGAAGATTACATATACTTCCTTCCATGGAATATAATCCCTCCACAATTAAAAGTATTTTTTTCCATGGTCGATGTGTACGTGGTTGACCTTGACTAATACATTCTTTCAACAAGGATTCTAAATCTGTCATATTATTATGTTTAAATACTCTAATAAAAGCCCCAGCAAGACGACTACCAAATACTATAGAACTATGGTTAAGTTCATCAGAAATTATGAGGCATCCCTTTGATGCCAATGCTGGTATTGTTGTACTATTAGTAGCATATCCCATTGAAATAAGCATTGCTGCTGGCTTTCCTACAAATTTTGCTACCAATGATTCAACTTGTAGATGTAAATTTGATGTTCCTAAAAATGAAGAAAATAAATATAAACTAAATTGAATATAGGAATTTAATAATTAAATTTTTTTTTTTTTTCATACCAACTTCATTTCTAGGGCTACATGTCGAAATTCCATACTTTCTAACTGTTTGTTCAACTGCATCAGCACAAGGTCCTTGACTTTGTGCAAATCCTAAATAATTATAACTACTTAAATTTAAACAATCTCTTTTAGTTCCTGTTAATTGAAATGTTTTACAATAATCTTTGGTTTCTCTTTCTAATAAGGTAATTTTTCTTCCTGGAACTCCTGTAACTGGTCGATTGAAACAATCATTAATTCTTAATTTTAATCTACGAACATAAAAATTATCAAAATCAGAATTTAATGGTGCATATCCCTATCGTAAATTAGAAGTCAGTTATCATATGAATTAAAAAAATTCATCTTTTTAAGCACAATAGACTTACATTCTGTTCTTTCAAGTGTTTATAATTTTTGCTTAAAAATCTTTTTCCAAAAAAATCTCGCAGATGACCAAAACAAATAAGTACTAAATATGATAAATATGTGGTAAAAAGAAAGTAATACGGAGGCTCCTCTTCTTTCCAGCCTGGATCGTCTTCTCTTCGCTTTGATACATATCGCTGTTTTTTAGCAGGTCCCTCTTGTTCTACTTTCATAGCCGAACTAGTAAAATGATCGCTAGAGCTTTCAGAAGTAGATAGTTGAAAATTCTGAGCTGTTGAAACCTTTGTTCGGCTTCCTTTGCCCATTGTGAAATATCAGAAATTTTTTTTTTTTTTTTTTGAATATCTTTATTTACATAGAACAATAATTTTTTTGATGCGATGTCAAATTTGCGATTGATCATTGACTATTACGCATGGTAAACGCACAGGAAATTATTGGGTAAATCAATAGCTATTTTAAATGTCATACTAATGATGTAATTTATGTTGAACAAAACTATTATAATTTTAATTTTTATAATATAATTTATTAGATAATTAGTGATTTTTTTTTAATTCAAATAAAAAATTGGGTACAATAAAATGGGTTAATTCAAAGAAAATGAAAAAAAAAAATATTATTAATATTTGTTTGCAGATTAAAGTATTGATAAATAATTTTAAAGGTTTCCCAACAATAAAATGATCTTTCATCACTCGGATTTCAAAATAAAATTAAATATTAAATTCCGAGTATACATTCTGCTTATCATATATCAAGATAATAATAAATATATAAAAATAATGACGTATAAATATCCAAAGTTCTAAACAAAATTATTTAAACAAAAATGAAATATAAATAAATTTCAAACAAAATATATCAAGGAAAAAGTTACGGTAAGTTAAAAAAAGTGAAGTAATTTATGAAATATATTCTAAAAATAAGAAAATACAATATAATTTCTAAAACCCACATTACCCGTTACCTCCTTTACCCCCTTGAATTTTCAATCTTTTTTTTTACGTTGTTCTATTTTAAATAACTGGTCCACCAGGTCCTACTTGCGGCTGCACAGGTTGTGATTGTTGTTGCTGTTGTTCATGTTGCTTGCTACTGGTTTCTTTCAAAGCCAACAATTGTTTTGAACGGAATGCCTCATAATGAATTTGAGCAGTAGTTTCAATAAGATCCTGAAGGTGGGTTCTGGAAGTTATCGATAACAAGGATGTTTAGTATAAATATCAAAAGAAAAAATAGCTTTTTAAGTCATATGTTAACTTACCGTGTGAGAAAATCTCGAAGATGGACAAATTCACAATGATCTTCATTTTCCACTGAAATAATGTATACGTTAAATATTAGCATTAAATTACTATTTAAATAATTTAAATAGATCGGTTAAATATTAATTTACCATTAATAACACCCCATCGATTTCTTCGCCCGCGAACGGATTTACCATCAATTACTACATTTTTTTCAGATCCAACAATAGCGAATGGGATCATTTGCTATTTTAATAAGAATATAATGTTAAATTCGATTTGTTTATAAACCGGACAAACAAAAAAAAAAAAAAGTATAATCACCTTGATACGTTCGTTGAGTGCCCGCTCATCATCATCAAGCTCATCAGAATCATAAGGATATAACTTGATATTATGAAAGGCTAATTCGGACTTTATCTATATAACGGGATAAAAACTAAATTAAGTCACGAATAAAAATTAGACAGTTAATTATATCATGTACGTCTAACATACTCTTTGTTTGAAGGCCACACGTTCTTCCATTGTCAAAGAATCAGATTTGGCAATGACTGGAACGACATTGACAACTTCAGAAAGTTTTCTAAGTACCACAATGTCAATAGGTTTCAGTCTAAAGTTGATTAGGAAAAAATAAATAAATAGATAGATAAATAAATTATTTCAATATAAAATAGTTTAACGAATTAAAGATTAAAGTACGTACGCATGACCAGTTGGAGAAATAAAGAATAAGCAACAATGAATTCTGGTATCTTGAATATAACGTTCACGCATAGCAGTAAGTTCTTTGCGTAAATAAGCACTATGCTGGTCTTTAATGTACTTAATAATTGGCTCCCAACTGTTTCAAATGTCAAAAAGGTTAGGTATCATAATATAATAGTTTTCATTATTAACTTGATCACCATAACCGGGAGTATCAACAATATTAAGTCTCAAACGAATTCCATTTTCTTCAATTACTATAAATGAATGAATACTAATTAATAATTAATTATCTTATCCCAAGAGTAAAGCGGATAGTAATATATGAATTACAACGCATAATACCAAAACAACCGGTATAAAATATAACTTTTTTAAAAAAATAAAGGCCGCACTCGATAAAAATGTAAAGACGAAACTACATACAATGTGATACAGTTTGAATTTCAGTTGTTTGCCTGAAAGGTTCCTCGGAGCTAGTACGACCCTTACTATCAATCAAGTGGGCAGCGAAAATGGTGTTGATGAGAGTTGATTTACCAAGTCCAGTTTGGCCTATAATATATCAACAGACAAGAAGATTGAAATTACAAAATTAAATAAAAAATTAGAATATGTTTCCTTTTAAATCCATGGATGAGCGAATGTAAAATTTACTTTGAACATACCAACAACAATTACGTTGAACTGAAAGCCGCGTTTTAGTAACTTCTTTTCAATTTGTCGGGTGATAGAATCAAAACCTACATAACCATTTAGATTCATCTAAAAAATTTGGTTTAATAGAAAATAGATTTTAGTATCTCTAACATGGCGGATGATGGTTTACTGAAACCAAACCAAAAAATAAAGAAGGTAACCTTTTGAGGCTCGGCGATAGCAGCCATTATTTATTTAACTTTTTTATAATTATTATCAACCGGTGGAATTTTTTCAGATAAATAAACTGGAAACTGAGAAAAGTTATTTGGGAGATAGAAGGAACGTATTGGGGTGAGATTTCGCTCTATGCGGAAGCGCTGGGTATATTGAGGGTATTGGAGAACAAAAATTATAAAAAAAAGCAGACTTTAGACGATAACAAATTATCGGATACGATTGGTCGCCTGATTGAAATACATGGTAGGACAAATATTTGTCGTGTAATTATGTGTACGGGTTTGATTCAAAAAATCACAGGATAAACAAAGTTACAAACATCACAAAAATTTAATTACATTCTTCTCATTCTATTCCAAAAAGGAAAAGAAATCAGTGGATAAATGGTGACTGTGAGATTCGAACTCACGCCTCTTTCGAGACCGCAACTTGAGTGCGGCGCCTTAGACCAACTCGGCCAAGTCACCTATACGTAAGGGATGTACGAAATTTATAATTTTTCTTATACATTTAGGTTACACAATAACGTTTAGCTTACGATATACCCGGTATATAACAGTATATACAGTTGTCAGTTGATTGATACATTGTGACGTAAAGGAATTCTAAAATTCCAATTTCTAATGGAATTTTATCGACCAATGATACCAACAAATAAAAAGATATTCAATTTTTATTCATTAACACAAATATAATCTCATTATCTGTTTTTTTTTTAAACATATTAAATTAATTTTGTTTCCCCGTGTGGATGCGACAATAAAAAAAAAGGAGTTTTCCAACAATGGAAATAACCCAAGCCTTTTCAATAATACATGTTTTTCCAATACTGGATATAAGACGGGTTTTTTATAACGTTAAAAAAAAAATTCACAAGGGAACCATTTAAAAAATTCCCACATCAATGTGATGGATGATATTTGAAGAACTTCCATAACTGCAAGGTTAAATTTAAATTTAATTTAATTTATTTATTTTTAACTGAAACATGCAAAATTATTACGATTCAAAAATCTATATGACGAAGAGATCCACAAGATAACTTAAAATAAAACTTTATCGTCTCTCATCTTGCATCTTTTTTACTCCTTGTCTTAATATAAAATGAATTTTCCACAAGATCATAAACAAAAGATTGATTGAGTAATAGTTCACATTGAAAAATAAATTGAGATTAACATAACATTAATACTGGTTGGTACTTGAAAATGTATGTGTATCATTTATCGGGCAGCACAGACAGTCCAAATGTCGCATAACATATTGCTGCTAATGGTTATACACATTGGTCATTTTTTACTTTTTTGTAGGCTCCGCTTTTACACCTGACAAACTTGTCCTCATTATAAATCCTTGTACAGAAAATCATTTTGAAAATCTTCGTTTTATATAACCTCCCTGTGTTATATAAAATATATATATACTTCCATTTATCTGTCAAAATCTGATCGTTCGCTTTATTATTTAGTTCATGGTATCTTATTGCTTTTTAGGTTTTCATGTTAACTGTTAAGTCGTCGTATTAACTTATTATGCACTAAAAAAAGATATTGCCGCAAGAAAAAAAAAATTTATTCGCGAACTTAAGACGCGACAAGTTTTTTTTCTTAATCGAAAACGGGAATTTTTTTCAGGAAAAAATTATATAAAAAATTTATTATTATGGACAATAAAACTGAGTCAACTAATATTAAAGAAACCACCGAGAATATTGAAAATAGTGGTATAACCTTAACCTTAAATAATGATAATAATAAAGATACTCAACACGAAAATATTGAAGAGGAAACTAAAAGTAATTCACAACCTCAAGAAGAATCTCCTCCAAACATAATAAGTGACCAAAACACGACTCAACAGGTTTCTGAATCACCTATAATATCTAGTAACTTAAATATACCCGCCGCGTCAAAATTCGCTTCGGACAATGTAATATCAACGTCTATTATTGGAAGTAATGTCGCAGCTCACCAGAAATCAAAGTCACGTCACCAGTTGAGTAATAGTGAAGCCTTTATTAACTTGGATGATAATGTTTCTATGAGGTAATGTTTAATATCTCTTAGAAAAAATTGGGTCGGGATTTTTGTGTGAAAGTGTGATTTATGTAGTATTCAATGAGAAAAAATATCTGCCCATACAACAAATTGAGTGGAATTATTTCAATATTCGTTACTCAAGTATTGGTAAGAATGTTAGAACAAAGAAGATTCTTCAGTTTTCGAAATCGTTACAGCAAATATTTTTTTACTTGAAAGGGGCATGCTGGTCAGTTTTATATTTCGAATTTTTTTAATTAAAAAACTAAAAAAGGATTCTATTATTGTAAAGAATGAATTTCGATTCATTTAATAAAATTTACTTAATTCGTTGAATAAATAATAATAGAAGAATTCTTCAATTAAAAATATATTATTTTTTTTTTTCTTTTTCTTTTTATGTATATACATCCAATATAGTATAGTTAAATATCCATTTTTAAAAAATTCGAGGGGGTTTCTTATGTAGGATAATTATTTTATCTCGCGAAATTAAAACAAAAAAAAAAAAAAAGTGAATTGGTTTAAACACGTAATATACAATAATTATATCATATCACGTGATCCTAAAATTTTTCGCGTTTGCGTATTTTCGTTATTTTTTTTCCCGTTTCTTTTTTTTTTGAACTTCTTTATATATAATATAATTAGAGATACCATGAAATCCAACCGGCCACGTGAATCTCGCAGATCTGCACCTGTCCCATACAGGCCAACTACAGAATTTGATGTACAAAATTTACCCCGACCAAATTCACAAATTATCATACCAACAATGAGGAGATATAATTCTATTATTATACCAAATTCTGATCAGGAATTTGCTAGAATATTAAATTGGCCAACACAAAATCATGATCATGATAGAATTCAACAATCACAAAATAATTTAGTTGGTTTAAATTCAAAGGACAATTTAGTAGATGATGGCGAGATAATATTTGATACAACATCATTTAATCAAGCAGGCGACATTCAACAACTTTCACATGGACAAATCCCCTCCTATATTCCTCAAGGTCGCTTCTCGGTGACTGCGGCAATGCACCAAGTGATAAATCCATCACGAGCGCCTGAGGTACCTTCACTCATTTCAACTTATGGTACTGAAATATTTGATCAAATTCAATCAGATGATGACCCAAGACTTATAGTTTGGTCAATATCAAGGGCTGAAGAGAGAAGGCAAGGATCAATTATTTCTTCTTATGTCTCTTCTTCAAAAAGATGGAGTATACATGAAAAATTGGAGAAAGCGGGTAAAACGATATGTGGTGCAGGGTTAAGAGATAGGTTCGAAAGTAAACCGTCAAAAAACAGACATTCTATTGTTATGACAGAAAAAGTGATAATGGCTGCAACGATTGAAAAATTAATTGAGAAATTAACAAGTGGAATTGGTAATTTTTTAAAAATATGCTCTTATAGTTACATGAAAATATTATTTGATTTGCTTATTAATTTTTTAAAGTTAAATTTTACTCTTACTAGATTATACTTTCTTAACGGATTTTTTTCTTACATATCGAGCATTTATAACGCCATTACATTTATGTAATCTATTAATCTTGAGATTTAATTGGGCATTAGAATTTGATGATGAAAAAAGAAGGGTAGTAAGAGTCAGGTATGTTTGTAACTTTTTTTTTTTTTTTAATTCATTTTTATCGGAAATTTTTTAAATTTTATTTTATATTTAGGACATTTGTAGCTCTACGACATTGGCTTCTCAATTATTTTGCGTATGATTTCGTTCCATGTCGTAATTTAAGGTCTAAACTTATAACTTATCTGAATACTTTACATCCTTCGGCACCCCGAGACCAAAAAATAGTGCAAGCATTAAAAAAAGTAATTAAAAGATTAAAAAAAATTTATTATCGTAAGGGTGTTGCGGGTATTCCAAAGAATAGAAATGGTGTTGTTAGTGGTAATGGCACAGAAAAAAAGACAGGAGATATTACACAACAACAAAATTCTGAACAATATTTGGAGGATGACGTAATATTAGTTGAACATAGCGGAGTTGGTGCTGGTATCTCTTTTCCATCATCTAAAGAAAAGTTAAAAAAGACTAGAAAACATGATTCAACATCTACTATAAGTTCAATATTAACTCCGGGAACAACAGATTCTGAAAGTGAAGAATTTGGACGTCATCGATCTTCTCGTTCAGGAATTTCACAGCCGACAGAATTTCGTCAAAGTTTTGAGGCTGCAAGTAGTAATTCACAATATAGTGATGAATTTTCCACAGATGAAAATCAAATTTCAAGTTTTTATAATGAAAAATTGGCAAAGTCTTTACCAACATTAACAAATAAGATGGTTGGTGATTGGGAACTAGGTGTAGATGGTAAAGGCAATGATAAAGTTCCTAAACCAAAACAAGTGAAAGAAAAAAAATTGAAATTAAGAAGTAGTTCCATGAGTGATTTATCTCAACGTAGAAAATTACAAGCAGAATTTAAACCTTTGAAACATAACTCAAAAGATAATTTAAAAAATAATTTAAAAGATGATAATGATATAATAATAGAAGAAGAAGAACCACCACCCCTTCCACCAAGACGGCATAGGAGGCACACTATCACCTACACCCAACCAACATTAGTTGTTCCACCATCACCTTCGTTCTTTAAGGGTGGATTTTTAAATTTCCCAATGAGGAAGCCTAAAACTCAAGAAGCAATGAACGAAAAATTTCAAGATCGTACACGTAAGAAACGAAGTTTATCATTATCCGAAGCAATTTGTGGATTTGCAGAAAATGACGATGATGAGGACGAAGATGATGAATTTGATTTGTCTCAAATTGATCATGCTGGAGGAATTGTTAGAAGAAATTCTTCCCCTGCATATATTGGATCACCTTCAATTCAATCTGATCAAAAAGAGAAAGGAGAAGCATCAAAGCGTAAACCACGTCGGCCTTCATGGCCTCAAAAAATGTCCGCAACCGTGGGTAAATTCGCCAAGGTTTTGTTTACACCTGGTACTGGAAAATCAGGTGGAATTAAAATGCTTTGCGCTAATTCTGAAATTGTTACCCCAGAAGAAGGCGATTCGGAAATTTCTGTACCAGCTGAAAATTTGAACGAGGATGATTTACCTATTTACTTGGATGGATTTTCTTATGTTGATGAATCGCTTGAGGAAGAATATTATGATGCAATGCGTCAAGAGGATTTTGCCGGTACGGAAGAACGATTTAATTGGGATGAAGAGGAGGAAGGTGAGTTACAAGAAGAATTGGAAGAATTGGAAGAGGAGGAAGAGGAGGAAGAGGGCTCAGATGATGAGGGATTGGCTTCAACTTCAACAGAACCACATATACCTCCAAATCATGAACAGGAAAAAGAAGATAAAAATGAAGATTTGGAAGAAAACAGTCAAAGTACTAGAACTATTCGTCGTAAGACCAAAGTATGGGAGTTAGGTCCGGTGTTAGAAGTTGAAGACGATGATAATTTTGATAAATCTTCAATATCTCTGCATGACACTTTGGAATCAAAAAAAGAGGAAGAAAAAATGGCCGAAGAATTATCATCTGAGAACAAACAAACCGAAGACCCTCAATCTATGCGTAAACGTCGAAGACATGCTAAGTTTTATGAAGTTAAAGATGATGAACCGAACATATTTGTAACACCACTAGAACCTTCCGAAAATAAAGGAGAGGTTTTTGAACAAGGCCTTGATATTGAGGAGGAGGAGGAAGAGGATGATGATGAAAATAACTCTTCCTCGCATAGACTTCGTCGATTTCCCAAAGTATTTGACTTACGGTCTGCTGTCACAATTAAAGATCTTGAAGAAAAATCCGGTAAGCGGGTTTCTTGGAGTACTTTTTCATCACTTGGTACCTTAGGTATTGAAGATACAGGTACAGCTGCTGGTACAGAAGCCATATTATCACGTACATTAACATCATCTTCATCATCAAAATTAAAAAATAAAGAATCCGTCAAATCATCTTCAGATATTGGGACTGAAATTCAAAGAGAGAAAGAAACATCAAAAGAAGTTGAACGAGAACCTGTAAAATCAATTATGAAACCTCCATCTTCAGAACAAGTTGCCAACAATAGTAGCATAACCCCCGGTTCACCTAAAAAAAGTTCAGAATCTTCAGTAAAACGTATTGTAATCACGGAACCTCCCTCTAAAAAACTTCCGGACATTCCAGTTCAACATACCACTACTACCACTACCACTACCACTACCACTACTTCTGCTGCTGAACCTCGTGGTAGCAGTAAAGTTCCAATCAAGAATATTCCTACTACCGTCCAGAAAAGTTCTTTAAATAAACCTTTACCACCAATTCCCATTCAAGATAATCAACCGAAAAGACCACCGTCAATTTCTACAACAGTAAATTCTCAATCTCAATATAGATCTTTTATATTAAATTATCGATCAGAAGATATTGCCAAACAATTTTGTTTGATCGAACGTGATTTTTTATTGAAAGTTAATTGGGAAGATTTGGTTCAAGTTGGTTATACTACTAACGAAGAAAATGTTCAAAAGACTGATAATGAAGAAAAAAAAGAGAAAAAGAAAGATGTTAAAGGAAAAGGAAAAGAGAAAGAACTTGAAGAAGAAAAAGAGAAACCAAGAAAAAGAGTTCGGGAAAATGGTGTTGATAAAGTAATCGAAAGGTTCAATTTGGTCAGTATTTTCAAATTTAAATTCCTTCCAACAATAACTATGATAGTAATAATATTCTTTTTTTCGCAAGGCATGTGATTGGGTTGCTACTGAGATAGTACTTACCAGATCTTTGGATGATCGAGTGCAAGTAATCGAAAAGTTTATACGAATTGCACAGGTAAATACAGAGAGAACACATATTCTTTAGTACTTTTTGATCGATTATCCATTTCCATCACTTATCAAACTTTTTTTTTAGAAATGTCTTCAATTTTCAAATTTTGCAACATTAACACAAATTCTTCTTGGACTACAATCACCACCGGTAGAAAGATTAAGAAGAACATGGACAAGGGTTAGAAATGAAGATTTACGTGCATTTAAAGAATTAAGTGAATATATTTCTGCTTTTGGTAATTGGAAAGTAATAAGAGAGGCCATGAGAAAATCCATTGAAGATTCTACAATATTAAAAGAATTAATGAAACAACGTAAAAGTCGTATTTCTGATGTTCGCAATACCGGTTGTATCCCATTTTTAGGTTTGTATCTTGAGTTGTCCTTTAGCCGTTTTTTTTTTGCATTATTATTAAATTAAAAGAAATTTTGTTAGGGTTATACCTTTCGGATTTAGTTTTCAATGCAGCAGTACCATCATTTATTGATCCGACGTCATCGCAACCCTCAACTCCATCATCACCTTTACCATCTAGCTCAGCCGACGCAACGACTCCTTTACACCACCAACCACTTATTAATTTTCATAAACATCGTACAACAGCTACAATAGTTAAAAGGGTATTAACATTTCAGACTTTATCAAGAGGATATAATTTTTCTATTGATAAAGAAATTTATGATAAATGTTATGGATTAAAAGGTTTTGAAGCTACTAAATTGGTTGTAATGGACCTAGATGCTGATGATTTTGTTTAATATCTTGGTTTCTTAATTATCTTTTCTAATTAACGTTTGGATTTATTTTTCAATTTTTGAACAAAAACAATTATTTCTTAGTAATTTCTTAATTGATATTTTCACTTACATCATAATTTCATTTTCTACAATATTTTTTCATTCATTCAAACAAAATTGCATTTTATTAAAACCAAAAAAAAATTTTTTTCGAACAATCATATATATAATATGTATTACTTAATGTAATGATGTATTAAGCATAATATAGCTTACTAGTATCTTTTTTTTTTTAGCATATATATTTTTGGTTCAAAAATTCAGTTTATTGGTAGTTTATGTATTCTTTTTGACCTTTTTGATTTCTCTTCTTGAATCAATGATAATAAAGTGCATTATCATAACGAAGATATACTTGCATTGTTTTTCATGTAAAATGTTTTATGTCTGTCGGAATGGATGTCACGTGATAATAGTACTAGACCAAATCTGTACGACAGTCGATTCTCCTATAAATATACTAAATTTTTTAGATCTTGTTAATTCAAGCTGAGACAGGTAAATTTCAAAAGTTTCAACATTTCTATGAGCTGTGATCTGATTTTAACACAATGTACTTATTGTTAATAGTTATAGTTTCACATTTGGAAGCGTACCAGGGGCGAGGATATAACAAATTCCTAATCAATAACTTATCATGTTTATTTTATCGGTTTTGAAAGACACAATTCACATACAACCTTACGATTTTTATAAATCTAAATATGATGCATTAGCCGATGAAATCAATCGAATTTATGCAAATAAAGTAGGTAATAATTCAAATGATATTCATTGATTACAGAAGAAGGTTTTTCTTGAAGTATCTTATTATACTACAGGTTATTCAAGAAGTTGGATTATGTATATGTTTGTTCGATATACTTTCTGCAAGTGAGGAAATAGTGCACTATGGGAATGGTGCTAGTTATGCTAAAGGTATTCGTATCAACACACATGTCTTAAGTTATTGATTTATGTCAATTAATTTTTTAACTTATTTAAATTACATTAGTCAAATTTCAGTTAGTTGTATTCCGACCTTTCATTGGTGAAATACTGGAAGGAAAAGTATCAAGTAATACACCTGAAGGTGTTAAAGGTACGTGTGTCTCTTAATTTGCTCTTAAATTTTTTAAATTGAAATGTCCTTGGGAGTTATTATACTTATGTATAAATGGTTTATTATTCGATTTACACTTTTCTTTGCTTTATATAAAATTTTTTTGCAGTGACTTTGGGGTATTTTGATGATATCTTAATTCCCACAAACAATGATGATGGTTGGAGATTGTAAGATATGAATATATATAATTTTTTTTTTTTTTTTTTTTTTTTTGTAATGCGCCTAATCAATTTTCTAACGATAATTTAGTGATTTTGGATCACAAGTATGGGTAAGATTATGGGATAATCCATTACCAGAAAACTTATGGAAATCAGCAGAAGATAAATATTTATATATGTATATGGATAAAGATCAATCAATAAAATTTAGAGTTATAGAAGAAAATTTTACAGATATTGGTACAAAGGGTCCACCACCAAAACGTACTGGAGCTGTAGCTGGACAAAAAGTTCCTCAACCTGGTTCTTCTTCATTACCATCTGACGTTATGATCGTTGGTAATAATAAAAGTGTTACTAATATACAACCACCAAATATTGTTAATGCTGATACTACTACTGGATCTAACGTAATTGGAGGTGCAAATGCCACTTCTGTTCAGCAAGAAAGTAAATTATTAGGAGCTGCTACTACTTCTTCTACTTATAAACTTAAACAAGCACCTTATGAAATTGTCGGATCAATAGCTGAAGTTGGCTTAGGTTTAACTTCCTGGGCTTGGGACTAAAAATTTTCTTAAACAAAAAACACAAATTAAATAATATAATATAATAAATTTAACAAATTATAAAAATCAAATTTTATTATTTATACTTTTATTTTTTGATCTTTCAATAATAATTACTTTATTTTCTTTTAACATAATTTTTTTTATAAAACCTGTTGTCACTTTTTGGCTATAGCTGCATAGCATCTTGTGGTGCTATAATAAAAGTTAAATTGCATGGGCCATAACTAATATAAAAAATCACTTTTAAAAATAGTTTTTATTTGTATATCAAAGTTTTGTTGTCTAGGAATTTACAATAATTCTTCTAATATTCATTATTCTGCTAGACACCCAAGCCCGAATTTAGGTCAAAGTAGTCGCATTAACCACATATTCCATTGGCAAATTACATTAACTAATGTATTATAGGTCAATCTTTTCACCCTCCAAGCAATGGCTACGATTTTTGATTAACAGATTTATCTCAGTAGGAAAATTACGATATACAGGTTTCCCCTGATCCATGAATATACAATTATATCAAGATATTATATTAAGGATACAATAGAGAAACACTCGGCAACAGCTGATTGTTATCAATATATGTGATACCAATAAAGGCTATTTTGGTATGAAGTGTCGGTAAGGGGATTAGAGTTAGGGTTAGAGTAAGGGGACTAAGTGGATTAAAGAAAAAGGGATTAGGATAAGATAATTTCCTAATAGCAAGATTATGTGGTGATGTTGAAATTGTGTATATTAAAAGCCGCCGTATCAAAAGCATAATAATAAAAATACGTAAGGCACGAAAGAATTCCTTCGAATAAGACCAACAAGAAAGGTCAATGATTGTATCGACTTGTCGATTATTAATAACTTTAAAATAGCAAATTCCACATATTATATTAGAGACCCGCCAGTCAAAAAAAGTGTTAGATTAGTCAGGGCTGATAATTCGTAAAATCACCATCCTGTCAGTATCCCGTCATTTTTTATCTCACCTCTTACAAAGTTCTCACTTTTACCTGATTTTCTCCATCACATTTTCAGGTGCTTGGCAGCCTTGGCTGTATTTGATTGAAATCTATCATATCATAATTCAGAACAAAAAATAATTTGTTCAAATAAGTGCTTGTCATGTACGATAGGGTCAATTACATCAGTTCGTGGTATATGCGATATTCAAAGCTGAATTCTGTACCACAAATATGGCGATAGCATTATTTGGCCAAAAGCGTGTCATTGAAGTGCTTTATTCCTTCCTTTTGGAAGATCTAAGAAAGCAGAAACCATCTCTTATTAGCTAGCGTTCGGTGACAATATCTTTATCTCATTTTCAACATTTGATTCATCTGCGATCTTTAATTCCGAAACTTAAAAGTTGATCATTTTGTTTAAGCCACAAAATTTACCACAATATCATACTTTCGTATTTTTGGCTGATCGAAATTCATTTATTTTTATTCATAATTTATCATAACAGTTATTTTGGTAGTGAACAACGTTAAAGGATTATCATTTTACGTCAAAAAATTAATGTTAAACAAAAGGAAATTCATGCTAAATATGTAAAAGTGTGGTTACCGGATTTGATCTATTATTCCTTCACCAAAAATCGTTCGTTAATTTTATTATAGTCTTGTGAAGTCAAACTCTCATTTAATAAAAGAACTGAATATCCTTTCCATGATTATCAACAAAACACATTGACTATAAAAATATTTACTGTATAAAATTTTTTTTGGCGTTATTAAAATGATTCTTACTGCAAATCAGCGGAGATTTTCGGGTATATATGAATTATGGATAATGGTGATCAAACTAAATCAGTTAATCAATTACGTAAATATCTCGTGATAATTTTTTTTTTTTTTGTTATTTCCCACTTTATTTTTTTTTTTTGGTTTTTAAAAAAAAACTTTTAGATAATTTACAGGTCTGCGAAATTGCATATTACATTACACAATTCAATTCCAATTTTCTTTATAATTAAGAATGAATCGCTCAACAATACTTTTACGAAGATTTTCTAATTTGTTAAAAAAATCTTTAACAGAATCATATTCTTCAAAATTATCATTATTATCTCAATCACGTAAATTAACTTCAACAACATCACCAGATTCATTAAATGGTCTTTTAAATGATATTCCTTTAAATAATCAATATTATAATTATCCTAGATTAACAGCACGACAAACAGCTTTGAGAACTACACCACCAAAAGGAGCTCAAATGCTTGTACGAGATTTTATTGATGATTCTTTATATAATCCAAATTATGGATATTTTTCAAAACAAGCAATAATATTTTCACCACAAAATCATTTTGATTTTAGTAATATTAAAGATAATTTGGAATTTATGAATATAGTAGCAAGTAAATATAAAGAATTTGAGATTAGTTTAGATGACAAAGATAAAAAAGTAACAAAACAATTATGGCATACCTCAACTGAATTATTTAAAGTAAGTAATTACATTATATATGATTTTTTAAGCTGATAATTATTATTGATGATATTTAATTATTTTCTTGATCAATTTTAATATAAGCCATGGTATGGATATGCATTTGCAAAATATATTGTTAATGAATATAAATTAGGAGGTAATCCTCAACATGATTTGATAATTTATGAACTTGGAGCCGGAAATGGGACTCTAATGTTAAATATTTTGGATTATATTCAAAAATTTGAACCTGCAATTTATAAAAAAACAAGATATCGAGTTGTTGAAATTAGTTCAATGTTAGCTGAAAGACAAAGGTCAATTCAGAATTTTCAACAAGTTGTCAATGTTCATAATTGTGTAGAGATCATTAACAAGAGCATATTTGATTGGAATGAAACTATAAAAGATCCTTGTTTTTTTTTGGCTTGTGAAGTTTTTGTAAGTATTTTTTTTTTNATGTTAATATGTTATAGAAATCTATATAATCTCTAAATCAGGTATTTTTTTTTTTTTTTTTTTTTAAGAAAAAAAATATTCTATTTTTAAGCATGAATTAACTAATAAATATTTAACAGGATAATTTTGCACACGATGTGATTCGTTATAATTTTTCAAGTGAAAAACCTGTGCAAGGAATTGTTGTAGCAAATGATGAGGGAGAATATGAGGAGATCTATGAGCCTGTCAATGATCCTCTTATTATACGTTACTTATCTTTACGTAATAGGACAATGTACAAAACACCAGCACTTCAAAATCGGTTATTACGATCATTACGAAATAAACTTCCTTTAGCACCCAACCTTACACAACCAGAATTTATACCAACAAAATTATTACTTTTTCTTGACATTTTAAAAGATTGTTTTCCAAAACATCGTCTTGTTATTTCAGATTTTTATAAATTACCGGATTCTATTCAAGGTATTGATGCTCCAGTAGTTCAAACAAGATATCAACAAACAATGGTTCCTTGTTCAACTTATATGGTGCATCCTGGATGGTTTGATATTTTCTTTCCTACAAATTTTGAATTATTAAAAGACATTTATCAATTAGTTTGTCGTTCTAGTCGGGCAGAATCCGAAAAAATTAAAGTATTACAACAAAAGGAATTTTTGAAAAGATATTCTGATTTAACAAAAACTCAAACGAAAAGTGGCGAAAATCCAATGTTAATGTATTATGAAAATGTAAAATTTTTATTAAGTTAAAATATATTTATACATAGATTACAATATATGCATATTATATATATATATATATATTTTTGTTATAAATATTAGTTATTGGATAGCTGGATAGGGAACGTTAGAATGTCACCGAACTGCGAAGCGATTCAGATGATACTTTAACATTCCTATCCAATAATATGATATTTATTTAATTTTACCTAAAATGTGCTACATAATAAATTATATTTGAGGATACGAAACATCATGTAATTAGGAAGCACTCTCATATCAGATACATAATTTTTTTTTGGTAAATTTTATTAATAATTTCCATATTAGATGTAAATTATAAGTGTTAACACATGAAAGTAAAATAAGCTAACTAGACTTGATGTAAAGCCGCTACTTCTCTTTTGTAAAATAGGAGAGGTCATACCTATCCGCCCTGGTATAACAGAACAATCATCATTTCTATCTAATCCCCATTCGTTTGATAAAAAAATATTTAATTTACTATTTAGGAATAATTACATAATGTTCTAGGTACAGCATATCTTTTCCTATTCAAAAACAAACATTACACTATGTCGTTACCAATTAATAATGAATGACATGACACAAAAATTATTAAAAGAGATTCGATGACCTGATTTTGCTTTTTCACCATTTTCTTTTTTCTTTTTCTTTTTTTTTTTTTAAAAAAAAAATTACATTTCAACCAAATCAACAATCATTTAATTAAAGAAACTGTTTCGTATCGTTTAAAAATGTCTCATGAAAAAATAAATTCACGCGAAAAGTCCAAATTTTTATTTAAAATTATATTATTTATTATAATAGTAGTAATTATTTTATCATTTACAACTGAAATCAAATTTACAACTTCACCAATTATTAATAATGATATTAAGACTACTATTACTAAATCCGCACCTACGAATGCTACGATTAAACCTATACTCTCTTTTGAAGAAAAATTCTTAACATATTTACCTCATAATGATTTTCATGATCAGCATGGAGCGCTCATAAATGCGATAATGTTATCGTATATAACAAATCGTACATTAATTATTCCACCTTTATTAATTAATTACTTTCCACGTAATTCTACATTTCATTCTTTATATAATAATTTAAATAAATTTATTGAAATCAAAAAATATCGTGAAGAACATTGTTATATCGATGATGAAAATGAAGAAAATTCTCTCGATTATTGTGATAATGAATATTCACAACTTGATGATTTTACCATGATAAATTGGGAACAATTATTTGATTTTAATGAATTGAAAAAACATGTTAAAATGATAAATCGTGGTTTTGATTTTTCATTGGATAATTTAAAATATAATTTTAATATTGGAGAAAATGATACATATTTATTCATTGAAGATTTATCATACGAATTAAAAGATAATGATAATTCAATACGAAAGAACGATAAAAAATTATTACATTTTTCTTCTTTACTTGGTCCTAATAAGATAATTTTGGAAAATCAAAATAATATAAAATTTCGACGATTAATTCATAACAAATTAATTATTAATAATCCAAAAATATTAAATGTTAGTGAAAAAATTATAGAAAAATTAGGTGGTAAAGGAAATTATATTGGTTTACATATTGAAATCAGACATAAAACATTCAGAATTAATGCAAATTATAATATAGATTTAATATATAGAAATTTGATGAAACATCTTTTAAATTCGAATTTATTAAGAAATTCAAAAAATCTCTTTAATTATAATTTAAAAGAATGTTTAAAAAATAATATACCAATAATTTATATAGCGACAGATTCTTTTGAACCTAGAAGTAGATTTTCAAAACTTTATGAAAATATACCATGTATATTTACTTTATTCGATCTTTCAAAAGATTTAGATAATTTTGGTAAAATACCAAGTGAATATGATGAAGATGTAGATTTAACAAATTTTTATGTACCTATAATAGATTTATTAATAACAGCTCATGGTAAGACTTTTATTGGTATTCCGAAAAGTGCCTTTTCACGATTGGCCAATGAAGTAAATAATTTATCTAATGGTAAAAATGCAATATCATGAATAATTGAATTCATGAACAGGTTGTATTACAATAGATTAATACTTTAACTATATTTGTTATTTTTAAATAAATATTATTTTACGTTGTACAAGTTATATTCATGTAGTGAATATTATGTTAATACATGCGGCGATATATACATTTATACCAAAGAAAGAACCAACAGCTAATTTGTGTTACAAACATCATTGTATCGGCATAATACATTAAGTGCTTACTATTACCGGTAGATTACTTCATGTCAATTATTATACATATACTAATTAATTATCGTACTCACACCGATAAATGCGTAGTACACAAGGTTACATTCAATAGGCTCAACTTAATTTATGCATTTTATAGTGTGCATTTGTACATTTGAAATTTTAACCTTGGATAGTATATTCTTTTTTCACATGCATTTTTGCCGTTTTAGCGACCTTCAAGAAATTATATTTCGTCATTGTTACAGAAAAACTTATTAGTTATAGACATATTGTTTCATGGCATCACTTACGTAACGAATTCGATTCAAACGTGTTTCAGTTTTAGCAGGTGACCGGAAATAGACGATTATACAAACCAATAAATTATTAGGTGAAATCATTTTAAAATTCTCTTAAATACTACTATTGATACAATTCCATAGGGTATAAAATAATTTACTGTATAATAAATAATAATGCTGTGCCTTTATGAACTTTAGCTTATATAAAAATAATAAACTACATTGATTTAATGAATATTATTAGGGATGGATTGCATCTCAATAAATACATTACTTGTATTATTTAATATTATATAATATAAATTTTATTATGTAATAAAATATACTTTATTAGATGATGATCTCGCTAATGTATAAGAAATGTTAATAAGTATATATATATATATATTATAATAAATTGTAAAATAAATAGTAAAATAAATAAAATTTAAAAATAAAGCTCGTTATAAATATTTGATATCCATTCGCACCTTTTTTGATCTCATTATAANCTGTACCTAGACCAACCACTACGCGAATATCATGAACATTTTTATCTCTTCTCTCATTTTTCTGGGACATTTCATAAAAAAAAAAATAGAAATAAAATGAAATAAAACGTAATAGAGTCAAAAAATTATGATATACCGTAGCATATTAACAGAAACTAAAATATGAATTTTGTTGAAATTCTAGACTTTTCTTGTCTTTAGATTTTTTATATCCTATAGATCCATTATTTTCGGTCTAAAAACAAGAAAGAACTATTACATTAAAGAATAAATAAAAAAATCAGTGTTATATGATTTAAGAAATTTACCGTCTTCATCACTTGAAACTTAAAGACAATCAATTTGTAAGGAATCTAAAGCAATTAAAATTCGTTAATATTTTTTTTTTTTAATTTTTACAAAATTATCAATTAGTACCTGAATATTCCATGTTTGATATATTATCATAGTTATTATAATAATCATCTGAATTTTTTGGTTCAGGAAGATTATTAAAATTAAGTAATCTACTGGTATAAATAGCTCCCGGATGTATTTCACTAGTTGAAGGTATGCTACCGGCTGATAACTTATTGATTTCTTCTGCTTCTTTCATTTGCTTTTGAAATTCTGTTGGTTCATCAAAAGTATGTATATATTCATACAACCAATAACAGGTAATTTTTCTAATTTCTTCTATCGTTGGTCGATTTAATGGATCTGCATCTAAGCATCTTTTAATTAAATCCACAATTAATTTAGGTACTTTGATATTAAATCTTGGTCTAAGTCCATTACAAATTTGGATTTTTAAATTTTCGTCATGGCATACATTGTGATGTGGGGGTAATCCTGAAATTATTTCATACATAATTATACCAAAACTATATATGTCAGCAGCTTTCGTATAATCTTGTCCTCTTAAAATTTCGGGTGCTATAAAAGGTGTAACGCCATATACGTGCTTTTCTGATGGATTATAATTTGCGGGTTTACATAATCCCATATCAGTTACATAAATAAGATGTCCTACTAATATATTGCAAGTATGTAAATCTCGATGAATTAAATCCATATCATGAATATGTTCAAGTCCCAATGTAATACTATATAAATAATAAAATTTATATTCCCAACCACTTGTACTTGTATCCGATAAACAATTTCGTAAATTTCCCTCCTTTGCATAATCCAAAACCATCATATAATCTTTCGTTTCCGGATCTTGAGTTATACCATAAAACTTAATAATGGAAAAAGTATCTCTTATTTTATGATGTACCATAACCTATTATAAAAAAACAATAAAAATAATACAAATATATAGTATTAATATATAAATTATCAAATTTTTTTGAACATAAATTAATTTTACCTCTTTCATAAATTCTGTTGTAACGTCTTTCGAATTATTTAAGCTTTTAAGAGCCACAAACATATCTTGACGTATTCTTCTCCAGTTGTGATTTTTAATATTCCATTTATTATCCATACATCCATCAATCCAATTTGCTTTATACACTTTACCAAATCCGCCTTTTGCAACATATTTAATATTAGTAAATTTATCATAAGGTATCCATTCTAATGCTCTTGGTGCTTCATAATTTGAATGTGCTGATAACTGAGTACCTTGAATGAAATTATCAATAATATCATTACCACTTGTCCAATTTTTAAAATTTTGTTGAAACCTCTTCGCATTACAATCAATACGTTTACATTCTTCACATATTTCATTTTTAATACGTGATGATTTTGTTAGCTTTTTTCTTGCATTAATAAGTTTTCGTTTAACATTTTTAATCTTCTTGATAAAAGAACCCATTAAGACTTTATAAATAAAATAATAAAATTAAAAAGTTTAAAAGCAATGAAAATATAAAACAATACGTTATTCTAAGAAACGTGTTATAATATAATATAAAATCGGGACTATCGTTTTATATATAGATATTACATTTCTGTGACGATCAAAGTCGATCCGGTTAATTAACCGGTTTGCTTTTATATTTATACTAGGCTTCAAAATCGAAAATGGAAATTAACCATATTTGACATGGCGGATATATTCCAAATGGCTCAAGACATAATATTCATTATGAATGAAAATCTTTAAAAAATATAAATATACTGATTAATCCTATAAATAAATATAGGACAAAACGCAGTTATTTGTAGATTCAAATCTTTTTATCGGAATATCCTGCGAATAAACATGTATTATAACTTGATTTGGATTAGTAAGTAAATATCAAAGAGAAAATTGATTGGTGATTCTGACTTCATGGAAATAGCTTAACGAATATGTATAATCCATTTATTGTTCATTGGCAATAAATACAGTAGTAGTTTAGTAAGCAAAAAATATGGACAAAGGATTCTTTCCTAAAAAATTATATTTTATCTTTCATTTTATGTCTTGTGGTCAGTCTCGTCAGAGGATGGTCACAGAATATAATCTTTTATCAAATTTCAATATTTGTTATTTTTAATTAAAAATATTGTCATTGAATTATTTTATAAATAGATTTAGTGTAAAAATTTATATAATTAATATAAGTCATTCTAATATTATTAAAATAAGTACCAAATTTATCGTCTGATATTAAAACCTGTTTTTTCTGACGCACGAAAATTTCCTTTTTAAGAGATTGTGTAAATAATTTTCGAAAAGGAAAAAAATCAAATTATTCTGGCCAGCACTATAAAATTGTCCGAATTACTGATACAGATATTTAACGGATAACGGATAGAACTCTATTATGAGAATAGCGATTCAATAAAAATTTATATATCACGACTCATTAAAATTTTTATTAATTAAGGAGAATAATCAATAATAATAACAGATAATATAAACGTATTTAGTTTAAAAATTTAATATGGTTAATTTATTTAATCGACAAATATTTAAATATATAAAATGTAAAATTGAATAAGTATGTCACTCCCTCATCGTCTATTTCGTCCCTTTACATTTTTTAATCATCATTTTCACTCTTTCATCATCTATTTTATCTGTTTACGTGTAATAAATAAATTTAATAACATATATCTATTCGATATCTCTTCTTGATTAACTATCCGCGCCTATTTTGACCTTGCAGGAAAAAATACCATCCGACCGAGGTTAATGTTATTAGGAATTCTAGGACCATCTCATCATAATCCTTCCGGTAAAAGCTATTATATGTAAATTTTAATTGTGATAATGAAAAAAGGAATATTTTTTGAGAAGTCAAAAAAAAAAAAAAAAAAAAAAAAAAAAAA